AAAAAAAAAAAAAAATAAAAAATAAAAAAAAAGGAGAAGAAGAAAAAGAGGGGGAGAGAGAGAGAGAGAGAAAAGGTACATATAATGCGACAATGGCAAGATGAGAGAACTCGAGGCTTCCCAACCACTTGTCCTGAGGAGCAAACGCCGCAATTGGCCACCTTTTGAAACACCATGAGCGCCGTTGCTTACATTTCTGAGTGCACAAAGAGATGCGGGATTGGTTGCGAAAGGCTAGTTAGTGGCCTAGTGATGGAAACAAGGTCGGTTAATGTAAAATCAAAAGAAGCGGCGCAGAAACGCAGGCATAGTGGCGAAGGTGCGTACAACACGAATAAGGCCAACGGTACATGACAAAATATGTGATCAAATGCTGGTACACAAGCGCCTCGCAAACAAGCGCCTGTCAAATGCCGTAAACCCACAAAATGCGAGAAATGCCAAGTAAACCATAATAACCCTTCCCCCGGACCGACCAAGGATATACCCAGGATCGAAACAACGCCAAATTCCGTGAACGCCGTGTCTAATGCATATCGAAAAACCCTTTGCAGGGTATGTTAAAGATGCCGTAGCACTAAGGTCATCAAAAATATTGATCGTAATATCACCGGATGGTGCCCCATTCCGCCAACTTGCTGCCTTCACGCCCTTGGTCTCTCCCGGACCTCTTGTTGAAGATCTTCCAAAATCTCAAAGTCTCATCACCAGCACCCGTAACCACCGTTTGGCCATCGGGACTCATTGCCAGATACAGGACACGGAACGTATGCCCCGTTAATGATACGATCTGTTCCATACGTGGATATTTCCAGATTACAATCTGGTTCTGGCTGTAGCCGTGTGTGCTGATGATTTCGTCCGAATTCTTCGACCAGGCTAGGTTGCAGACTTGACTGCCCGTGTCAACTTCCTTGATCAAAGATCCAGTCGAGGTATTCCAGAACTTGATAGTCCGATCGGCCGTTCCGCCACCCGAAGCAAGCAAATGATGCTGATGAGGCGACCAAGTAATCGCTTTCACAGCGGCAGTGTGGTCAGAAAATCGATACAGGGGCGTCTCGTTAAGCTTGTCCCATACCAAAAGCTTGTTATCGTTACCACCCGAAGCCAATTGACCGTCTTCTGTATTCCATCGGAGACCGCAGACTTCTTGCTTATGGCCAGAAAGTCGCCGGAGGTATTGATCTGGAGAGCGGACATCTCGGTGATAGATGAGGCGATCTCGCGAGCCGGATGTAAGGATATGATCATTCCAAGCCAGGGCACCTACACGATTGGTATGGCCAATCATCGTTCGTAGACGGCGACAGCGTTCTGCATCCCAGATCTGCACAAGTCCCTTCCCAGTCCCTATAGCAAGATGTGTACCCTGTGCGTGCCTCCGTTAGCCCCCACGTCAATGCAGCGATACACTTTGAATGACTCACCCTTTGAATCCAGTTGACGCTCGTGACGGTATCGTCTCTTAGCTCACATAACTTAGTTACTGTTCCGCTTTGCGAATTCCACATATAGACGGAGTTTCCAAGGCCAACACCTAATACGTTACTACTTCCCCAGTCCACCAGATTTAGATAGAAATCATCTTGCAAGTCAGGCGCATCTAGCACCTTGTATGGTACTTTGTTGACATAACGTGGTTGTTTGCGGGGGGTCTCAAGGATGCGCTGGCTATCGTAGCGGATCGGTGACAGACTGTAAAGCTCTGATCGAACATTAAGGTTGGGGCCATGTTGACTCCGGGGGGTTTTAGAAGGGGTGGGATGTCCAGATCCACGTGGGGAGGCGTAGTTGAAAAGGTTCTTGTGGGGTGTCGACGGTGTTATGCTTGCTGGAGGAAGATTTGACACATGCGACGGAGGGGTATGGGAGCGAGTCTTTTCATTGATACCATTACCGAGGCCCAGCAAAGGATCCGGTGATAATGATTCTAGGTCAGCTTGCGGGACAGTACTACCAAACAGCTCGCTCCGTAGGACTCGTGAGTACATCCTGTTTGCTTCTTCCGCTGGAAAAGGATTTTAGTCGAAATTTCACTTCATAAACGTGGAGAAGGTGCGGACTAACTCTTTTGAAAATGAAGCTCCGAATGCGGCGCACGCTTTTTTGATTTCGAAGGTGTAGAAGGACACCCGTCCTCGTGGAGCAAACTGTAGGTTGCCTGGAGGTCCTGCCCCTCCCGATTCGGGATAAATCTACACAGGAGTTTAGCAATGAATCGACCGGACACCCTAGAATAGGCGCAGAAAAACTGTAGGACGATGGTGGGCCTTTCTAGGAGGAATTGTCGTTACTGACCTGTCGCCATATACTCGCTGCCTTTTCCGACTGGGACTGGTCCCGGGTGTTCTCTCGCGAGGGCGCCCAGCGTCCTCGTAGTCCTTTAAAGCCTTCGCAAGCGCATCCGGGTCAATAGCTTCCGAGCCATGTCGGGTTTTCTGTTGCCTCCCTAGCGAATCAGGATAGAAAATGGTCTTTTTTGATGGCATGCTGGGCGGCGTTCTTGACCCAGGTGGGGATGCGAGGTTCAATGCATTGGCGGCACTTCCCGATGGTTTCGCACGTGAAGCATTTCTTGTTGCGCTACGGGTGGCAACCGTATTTGTGTCGTGGATGTTGTCGCCCATCCTTCTGGCGGGGGTGGCTGATCTCGCCTGGTTCAAATGGCGGTCGAAGGAGGGATGGACTTTGGCCAATCTGGGTAATGCGACAGTCGCCAATGTCGGATCGCAAAGTGTATGGTGGTATATAGAAGATCAATTGTGAAAGCGCTTGTGAGATGGTAGATTAGGAAGATATTTTGTGTTTCCTGTCAATCGGATCGCTTCACGGCGCCTTATTGGGGGTGGTGGTGAATGAATCGGTTGACGACTGCCAAACCCTTCTCCGCTCCGAACAATAATCCAGATAAAGTAGAGGTCAGGCGGCTTGAGAGAGCGACGATGAATAATAGATAGTACCTCTCACCAGACTTAGTGCTGATTGAAGATATTCAAGCAACTTGTGGAGGTCATTTGAGACGGACCCGACCACCGTCTGGTGAGGAATGGGATGTTGAAACAGCAGTGAAGGTTAGATCCAAGGGCTGGTGATTGGGGCCCTCTTGGGGGTGACGGCGTTTCGAAGGGGAATCCCTCTCAGTCACGCGTCGGCTGCACTAAGCCTATCTGGGTTGTTGGAGGCTGTCACGTCTTTTTTGCCCTCTTGGGGCTTGATTTCTTATTCTTCAGTCGTCTCACATTTAAATTTACTCGGTTGAGATCTAGAAGAGATTGATCTTTCCCTCTTGTCGTTGGTCTAAAGTCTCTTCCATTCTGAAACGTTGTGGTGCTCTCTGTAGTCACCCCTAAACGCTGGGACTGATTAGATAGATCATCCCGCGCAACATAGTGCACTGTTACCTGTACTACGGAGAACATGCTCTTGTTTACCCCACGACACTACAACTGTTTGCAAGGTCACTCAGCACAATCAATACCGATACTCGAGTGCCATTTTTCATTGTCTTTTGTTCTTATGATGCTTTTTCTGATCAGGCGATAAATTATTGATGTCTCAAGAAACACGCGACTCGACCGACGCGACCGGTTCGATGAATGATTGGATCAGCGTCCATCGATAGCTAGTTCGAGGTGCCACTTTTTCGGGCTTCCTCGCGACCGCCCTCATGACACGCGCCCTGAACGCGCGAGGGAAAAGCTTGGACCACAGCATGAAGGAGAGTTTCCAGCCAAAGAAACTATCGCTTCTCCCTTTCCGCGTCGATCGCAACGGACACCCCCGAGCATAACGGCTTTCCATTGTCTCCCATGCTTCTCACTCTGGTTTCGTTTTCTCAAACGAGATCCTGGCCTCTTAATCTACTCCACACACTTTAGAAATTGCTGAGCCTCCCCCAAGCTCATCAAAACGACCTTTCAATTGTTATTGGTTGATCTTATCGATACCTTAGCCCCAGTTCCAGTACTAGTCGCAGATTTGCCCCCAAGCTTGCTGCCCTCCCTGACTTGAAGAGGAAGAACCCCTCTATGTCATGTTATCAATTGTCTAATCGCCTATCTAACCGATCCAGGGCTTCTACTATAGAAGTTATGAAGATACGTAGCGTATGGAATACATATCAAAATTTCTAAAACCCCATAACAGGCATTGTGGTGGATTGTTATAGAGAAGAGTATAAGTTTGACTTGTCATGTTGCAGACATGACTCAGGGAGACACAGTTGCATTGTCCATGTCTCATATGCATGGTATTTTGCTGCCTGTGCAAGAGAGGGTCTTCAGATGCTCCATGTACCATACTACATATTAGTCCTGTGCACTTTCCCCGACCTGTCAAGTCTGAAATGAATCTGACGAGTACAGTTTTTCGGTATTCGTCACTACAAGATAGAGTGTATATGGAGTACTATCAGTCTGAATCCGAATTAGGGTTGACGATGGTTCAGGCCCCATAAACCGAAGCTTAGTGCCTTACCGCCAAGACTAGCCATGATCTCATGTCATTAGAAACTCTCTCTGTTCTCCGCAATTTCCATCTCCAACAAAAACAACCACTTGGATCTAGCTCGCGGGGTACCCAAAAATGACTTCGAAACTCGCCCAAAATTTGAAGCAGCCGGCTTTGGACTTCCTGTCCTATGTCAATGCTTCTCCCACCCGTAACTAGCTCCCTTCCTATATGCGTTCTTGGCCCACTTGTCTAACTCCGGCCAAATTCAGCCTTCCACGCTGTCCAATCGGCAAAGGAACTTTTGTCCAAGGCCGGCTTCCAGGAAATCAAGGTATGTGATTCCACCCTAGTGTTAGCGAAAATACTAACTGCATCTTCAGGAAAAAGACTCTTGGTCTTCCACTTGCCGTCCCGGTGGAAAGTATTACTTGACCCGTAATAGCTCAACCATTGTGGCTTTCGCCATCGGCAAGAAATGGAAGGTACATACTAATAACAACCATACAGCCCCCCTCCCCTTTTGCCCTCTTGGGACTGAAAGGCTAACAGTTACTCATGTAAACTAGCCTGGAAACCCGATCTCCATGATCGGTGCCCACACGGACTCTCCCGTATTGAGGATTAAGCCTGTCAGCAACAAGCGCGGCGAAGGCTTCGTCCAAGTTGGCGTAGAGACCTATGGAGGCGGCATTTGGCACACCTGTAATGAAGTTGCCTATTCTCTTTCCGTGCGTTGCATACTAATGTGATTTAGGGTTCGACCGTGACCTGGGTGTCGCAGGCCGGGCTATGGTGCGGACCGGTGACGGCTCCATTGTGCAGAAGTTGGTCAAGATCGACCGGCCCAGTATGATTTCCACGTAACATTGACTTGGATAATATGTGACTAACATCTTTCGCAGTTCTCCGGATCCCGACCTTGGCTATCCACCTTGATCGTCAGGAGACATTTGCTTTCAACAAGGAAACCCAATTGTTCCCTATCGCAGGCCTTGTCGCTGCAGAGCTCAACCGCACTGGCGATTCTACTGCCACCGGTGAAAAGGCCGCGGCAAACGACGAAACGGAGAAAGGAGACTTCGCTCCACTAAAATCGGTGACCGAGCGTCATCACCCCTACCTGGTGGAACTTATTGCTGCCGAAGCAGGAGTTAAGCCGGCCGACATCTTGGACTTTGAGATGATCTTATTCGACACGCAAAAGTCTTGCCTTGGTGGCTTGTTAGAGGAATTCATTTTCTCGCCCAGGCTGGATAACCTGAACAGCTCCTTCTGTGCCACTGTTGGACTTATCGACTCCGTTGCCGATGCGTCGGCGCTGGACGATGAACCATCCATTCGTCTCATTGCGTTATTCGATCACGAAGAGATCGGCAGCCGTACCGCGCAGGGAGCGGATTCAAATGTGCTTCCTGCAATTATCCGTCGCCTGTCTGTTCTGCCTTCTTCGACATCTGGCAACGAAGACTTGGCTACTGCCTATGAGGAGACTTTGTCGACTTCATTCCTCCTCTCTGCGGACATGGCTCATGCTATCCACCCTAACTACTCTGCCAAGTACGAGAATGACCACCGACCGGAAATTAACAAGGGTCCTGTGATCAAGATCAACGCCAATGCTCGCTACGCGACGAACTCCCCCGGCATTGTCCTTCTTCAGGAGGTTGCACGCAAGGCAGCAGAAGACGGTGGAGAAGGTGTTCCCCTCCAGCTCTTCGTCGTTCGCAACGACTCCAGCTGCGGAAGCACGATTGGTCCCATGTTGTCCGCTGCGCTTGGTGCCCGCACGCTGGACTTGGGTAACCCACAGCTAAGCATGCACAGTATCCGGGAGACTGGCGGTACATATGATGTTGGACATTCTATTCGGTTGTTCACTAGCTTCTTCAAGCATTACTCCAACACGTCCAAGACCATCTTTGTTGACTGAAGAGTTGGTTACTTGTGTAGATAGGTATCTATAGAAAATTCATTGTCTATAGAGCTCAGAATAACTCTGTTGAGGTCCGACCATCAATAAAGTCAACCAACATTCATCAGAAGTAAGAAGAGTACTAAAGGGCGAGGGACCTCGCAGATAATTAAAAACCGAATAAAGTTGTTAGAAGCTTTGACATAGACAACTATGACAACGGACGGGCCCAATGCGATCACCAAAGCTACTGGGCGGAGTCGCAATGTGGAGCGTTACGTGACTGGAGTCGAGTCCAGCTGGGGCCTGGGGGGCTTTCGGACCGAGAAAGGCCCGCGCACATGACTCCCCATTATCGTCTCCCCGACGCATCACAGTCCACCTCGAGGATAGTGGCACCTCACCCTCCTCTCTAGGTCTGCAGTGGCGGCCTCTACCTGTTCACTCAAATCACCAGTTCATGTAGATGCCATTCATGCCCTCATGACCCCCTATGACAACTCCGGATGTCTATCGAGATGCGGAATACATCGCTGACGTATCCGGCATCCCGTATGGAAGCGTCGCGGACCTCACTGGGCCGCAGTCTGGTGATGATGGCCGCTTCAAGAAACTGCAGTCGGCAGCGAAGGTCGCGTTTATCGATCGGTTGCTCCGCGATCTCGATATCTTGATTTACTGCCAGCTATCTGCACTGTATTACATGGAGTGAGTCCCGCCGAGTTGTTGGACTGTAGACGTCACTTCGGGCAAGCCTGCCAAATCAAACCGATGCTGACTGGGTTCTGCCTCTGTAGTTGCTCAATCATACTGTTTGCGATCCGTGCTATTGTGCAGCTGATATTCTTCACTCCCAAGGCACCTCCATTTGACCCGACGCGGAATCAACCATTTATCGGGGCTATCTTCGCCAGTAATGTATTCTGTATGATCCACCACAAGTTTTTCGATCAACCGGAGGCTGGAGAAGCAACGAGAGGCTATCTGCATGGGGGATTGTTGATAGATTTTATTGGACAAAAGGCTCCCGTCTCGGTAGCCCGGCTTCTAATGTCGGACCTGCTCGTGCTGTTCCTCGACCTGGTGATGCTAGGTCTGATTGTTGAACGGGTGAAGATGACTGAAGTGACTGCTCCCCTGTCCACTATACCGGGTGTAATAGAGACACCCAGCGATCAGGATCATGATTCCGAGGAGCGCGGTGTTCTTCGAAACAACTCGGCTCAGCCTGGCGATGACATAGAGCTTAATGAGATGCGTCCACCCGATGAGCATACGGATAACAGTACGGACGAGCAGTTGGAGCGAACGGAGCTACTGGCGGATCCTTCAGAAAGCGGGCGTGTATCTGGCGCTAGGAATAGCCACGCCATGGATGCTTTTGCGTCAGGGGAAGCAGTTATCATGGACCTTGGTATCTTTAACATCATTCGGGATCAATGGCGTCATAGTCCGGCTGCGGCAAGGCGAACCTCTGCTTATATGCCCTCCGACCAGACGGCTACTTTTCTTCGAGAACGCTTTGGACTGCAGGTCAACTCCGAGGGACGCCTCGAGAGGGTAACGACATGATTCGTTGTACTCTTTTTTATCTTGTACGTATTGACCTTGGATTCTTACTGGCTGTAACATGTGTAAATATTATATCAATACATAACCAATCCTGAATACTCTTGACGTTCCAAATGCCTTACTTTGTATACACCTAGTAGCATCTAGCTGAGGGTGTTTGTCGAAAGCGCCAGATAATGCTAAATCGTCGAAAGACATCAGACACAATCATATCCACAATTGAACATAGCATCTAAGACAGCGAAATACATAACAAGTCATCATAATATTACATAGCAACAAGGGTATGCCATTCACCAAACAAGAAAAAAAAAAGAAATAAAACCTCTAAGGAGCGGGTGGCTTCTCATCCCCTTCACGCCCTTCCTCTTTCGACTTAACCCTGCGATCCAGAATCTCATCGACAATACCCATCTCCAACGCCTCCTGAGCTCCCATGAAGTAATCTCTCTCCATAAGCTTCTCGATCTCGTCCAGCGACAACTCCTTCTTCCCTGTCAAGTGACGCTTATAAATCTTATTCAACTGCTCCCGAACCCGCAGGATCTCCTTCGCATGGATGGCAATGTCAGTCGCCTGTCCAAAGTACCCGCCCGACGGCTGGTGTATCATGATCGACGAATGGGGCAGGCAGTAACGTTTGCCGGGGTGCCCGCCGCAAAGAAGAAGGGAGCCCATGGACGCGGCCTGGCCGACGCAGATGGTGCTCACGGGGGAGGCGATGTAGGTCATTGTATCGTAGATGGCGAGGCCTGCTCAACCGTTAGACCATTGCTATGCCGTCCCGCACTATACAGGATCCATGATATAGCGTTGCGTTGGGATGGGAAACACGAACCGGCTGTCACCGAACCTCCAGGAGAGTTGATATACAAGTGGATCGGCTTCTGGGGGTTATCGGCTTCCAGGAAGAGGAGTTGGGCGACGATGGACGCCGACATGGTTTCGTCTACTTCGCCGTTGAGACATATTATGCGTTCCTGGGGAGATCGATCAGTGTGAAGTCGTTTCTGGGGTGGAGTGGGGTGTTGAGCTCTCGAATTGGTACCTTTAGAAGTCGGGAGAAGATATCATCTATGTGATGTGGTTAATACTGCTGGTTTTCCTTGTCTTTCTTTTTTGCGTTGAAGTTAACGTACATGTGTGCCAGCCTCCTCCCTACGATACAGTTAGTCTGACTTTCCTGCAATATGAGCTGATGGATTCAACGGAACTCACTACTGTCTCTGTGATGAATGGCGTGGGAGTCCAGCCCCGCGGCGGGTTGCTCTTTGATAATGACGGGACAGAGCTGGTGAAGCTCCGCGACAACACCGGGAGGATAGAAGAACGGGGAAAGAAGCGACTAAGTCGCTGTAATGATCGACCAGGGTTCATTCTGAGAAGAGTATCTGCCGACAGACAGAGTATTGTCACTATCAAGAAAAGAATGGAAGCGAAGACAACCGGACTCCGATCGCATCTGAGCAGAAGGTTCACCGCCAAGCTTCGGAGCTTGAACAGCATGGATACGGTTTAGCGCCGCGGAACGTGTGGAGTTTAGTTTCTTTGGGTTTGGAAGGGTAACCAACTCTCTCTCTCACTTATCTGATCTTCCCATCTATCTTCTTCTTCGCGAAGCACACCATGGAGTGCCTTCACGGCCGTATTTCATACGCCTCGTGGCGTTTGAGGGTCTTCCAACGACTTTTCTTATCCTCTACGGAACTCAATGGTCGGAGAACCGTCTCGAGACGTGCAATCGACTACCCAACCACTCTGAACGGATCACAATTTCAATATCCCGAATACCCAAAGGAACCGGGACAATATGATGACGTGGAATTCACCGCCACTGAAGAAGAGGAGCCTCGACTCTCGCAAACTCTCCCCCAATCACCCCTCATGAAGACCGTACACCCAAATCTCGAGAAGAAACACAAGAAGCGAGCCGCAAAACCCGAAGACCTGGAGGACCTCCGTCGAAACCCCTGGGCAATGGCCCTAGCCTCACCACCACGGATGTGCTCCGCAACAGGAACACGCGTTCCAAGGGCATTATTGAGCGACTGGGGGATGCTTAAACGACCCGGATCCGACGGCCTATGGTTCATGCCCGTGGGGTTACTAAAAGACGAAGTGGTCTCTGCTGCCGCGAAAAATAAATCGCGGCCAGTGTCTTATTTGGACAAGAGCATACGGCACCTTGTGATACGGCTCGTGGACCGTCTCCCGCTATTGAAAAAATTGAATTCGGTGTTGGCGTCGCATGTGTACGGGACGAGGTCGCCTGTTGTGCGCCTATTCCCCTATCGGTGGAAACATCCTCACGGGCCTTTTACTGTTCGGGAAGAGAAACAGATCATCTGGCGGGAAGATATGCCTGACTTTGTGCTGTCCAGAATGAGGGCGGATGTGGTCAAGCAACTTAAACAGGCCTGTAATAAGTATAAAAGATTGGATGCTACTAACCGCGTCTGGACGGCCATCGACCTCCATGAGTACTCTGAAGCGGCTATCATGGAAGAGTTGAAGAGGGTGAAACCCTTCACGCGCATGGAATGCGGTGCGGTGCTGGTTATGGGCACTCTGATTAACAGCCAGACTGGGGTGATTGAGTCAGTCTCACAAGATAAAACAACATCCAATGCCGTGGGAACACTCCCTGAATATCTTATGTTGCCGCATCTCCCATCCAAGGTGCCTGTGTTTGAACTTGGGCAGCTTTTCTCCGAGAAGGAGTTAGAGGAGATCTGGGGTTACGATTCGCGCTTCCAGAATCCAGCCTTGTATTTTAGGCCGAATGACAAGATCACAGTTAATGCGATGCTGGCGCTGTGGAAGCTGAAGGGGTTTCTCAGACATGACTCTGTTGGCGAGACTCCAGGCGACAGCAATGGGTCGCAGCCATGATCTTATCTGAGGCTGACTGCTTTGATAATTGAGCTCAGGGTACTGGTTAAGCTCTATATCTTCTTCGCGTGTATGGCGAACCGACTTCTATGTATCTATCTGGTTTCCTAACTATCTCTATCGACAATGTATATCCCTCTCTGTCTTGTCTAGTACTCTAAATTTAATCTATCATCAGTTCGATCCCAAGAGATCCGAAAGCTTATTCAGATACGCCAGAGGCCTAGTAGGCCCTGTCTCGAAGTCCTCCTTACTGCTGACACCGGTAAGGACTCCCAGTGTACCTCCAAGCTTCCCTTCCAGACCGAACCGAATATCAGTGTTCGCACGATCACCAACCATGCACGCACGGTTCCGGTCAAACTTAAATTTCCCCTCGATGGCATCCATCATCGCCTGATTGGGCTTACCCAACGAGACCGGTTCCTTACCCAAGGCCATAATCAAAGGTGCACTCACAGAGCCAGCACCCGGGAAAAAGGTACCCGAGTTCGGGAGAGTAGAATCGATATTCGTCGCAAGGAAAACAGCACCCCGACGAACATAGTGAAATGCCAAAGACAACTTGAGGTAATTGATATGGAAGTCCAGTCCCACCAAGACCACCCCGACTTCGGGATCCAGCAGCTCCGGATCGCCCGCCGCAATGCGCTTATAGTCCTCAGGCGCTATGTCCCGACGATACGCGGGATCAGTACCACCGATGAAGGGGACATTCTCTGAACGCAGCTCCTGCTCGATACCTGTTTCTCCTAAAACAAAGACTTTGCGCTTGTTCTCGGGAAGTTGCAGAATGCGGGAGATGTAGATTGAGGCGCTGTATGAGGAGGAGAAGATCTCTTCCTTTTCTTGCTGTCAGCCATCGTCTGCTTTGTGGTTGGGCTTCCGCCTGTGGCTGATGTTTACCGTTGAGCTTGGGATGCCGAGGGAGTCTAATTTCTTCTGGTAATCGGCGCGCGATTTGGTGCTGTTGTTCGTGACGAACACGACTTGCTTTCCTGGTTGCGACAAATGCAGTTCAGTCTTTGTGATCGAATGTGTCTCACTGCGCTTCGGCCGTCGGGTGCATACCTCTGCTTCTCAACAGCTCTAGTGTCTCGTTCGTTCCGGGGAAGATATGGTCACCAGACCAGAGGACGCCTGTATCAATGATCACTTTTCAGCATTGCTATCACACTGGGCTAAATATCGAGGCATCGCGGGGTCCGAAAGAATGCGAAACCGAGGGTTCGGGGTACCAACCATCGCAATCAAAGAGGAAGACCTTAGGCAAATTATTGATTAATTCTGTACTCGCAATTTACTAATTTAAATAGCAAGAAAAGAAAAAAAAAAGGTATAGAGTCAATACTCACGTCGAACTTGTCTATGAACTCGCGGATTCCTTCACCGTCTCCGGTCAAATAGCGGGGTGATTCTGCCATTGCGGGGTATGTTTGAACGACTTCTGAAGGGGTGATCTGGAATGTCTAGTCTAGCAATTCTAGTTTTTGGCAGGAAAGTGATATTTCAAGGGCTGCGAACAGAGTTTACAGAAGTTTGACACAAAAAGAGTCATTCCAAAATTGTTGAATGCTTGGCTCACTTTCCGGTGACGCTTCGGAGAGAACGGCGAGCGGGGCCGCACGTGGTTCTCGACTCAGGCACACCCTTCGCCTCATACGTAATTATGGACATTCTAGAACAAGTGCAAGCAAAATGGATGGATGTTCAGATATATATTATTTTTGGCATAGACGACCAGTTGACGATCCCTTCCTCCATCTCATGAAACCTCGTACAGTCGTAACTCTTCTGTCTTTGCGCCAGAGAACGGAGCTGATAGTGGCCGCGCTACTCATTCAGCAGCGGAAACCTGTCCGGCTGAAACATCAGGACGAGCCATGTTCCGTTGCGCCCGTGCGCTGGTGGCTTCACAGCTCGAATCCACCGTTGGCTTGGGACCATAAGCTTGAATGAGGGAGTCCGACAGAGGTCTACTGTCGGATAGTGTGATTAGAGTAGATCCGCGGGAGATATCCTCATACGTATACAAATGAATGGCCATTGAGATTGTATCTCATTTACCAGTCTGGCCACTAGGCACCGCCCAAGATACCAGAGATCTTCAGAGCCACGTCCAAGATTGACAGATGTTCATCTGCACCGTCGACCAAGCGCTTATCCATCTCGGAGAAAACCATGACGATCTTGTTCTTCTGAATATCAGGGATGGCGTCATTGTAAACAACTCGGCGATAAAGCTTGTCCGTTGTCAGCATCGCGCATTATCGAAAATGCTCATATCAGAACATACCTGTGCAAGCAGCTGCGTCGCACTCCACCCATCCGCAACAATATCCGTAGTTACCTTCGAGACGGCCTCATAGGAAGAACCGATCTTCTTTGGTTGCATAGCTTGAACCAATTGATCTAGAACACTCTCTGGGATCACACCAGCAATCTCCTCTACCATCCTCACAGTAATCACCTGTGAGCTAGCATCTGTCATCTCAGCGTCTTCCCCTCCATCCTGTTTACCGCTGTTCCCAGTGGTTCCCACTAGCCTAGCTCCACTTTGCATGTATGTGATTGCACGTCGCAAGTCACCATCGCTGCACTGAATCAATTTGTCAACGACACCATCCTCCAACTCCAGGTTCTCTAATTTCGCAATCTGTGCAAGTCTGTCGCCCGCAGCCGAGTTATCCAGCGGTTTGAAACGGAACTTGCTGCATCGACTGGCCAGCGGTTCAATGATTCGGGTAACGTAGTTGCAAACAAGACAGAAACGTGTGATTTTGCTATAGGTTTCCATTGTGCGTCGAAGAGCAGACTGAGCATCCTGAGTCATGCTATCTGCTTCATCAAGGATAATGATCTTGAACGGTGGGCATGGGTATTTCTCGAAGTATGACTTGTCGACCCCGGTAGGGTGACTGAGTTGTACTCTAGCAAAGCCCTTGACCTTTTCACGTACAATGCCAATACCACGTTCGTCCGAAGCGTTCAATTCAAGGATACGTGAACGATACAGAGCAGGACCAAATAGGGACTTCGCGAGGGCGAGAATTGTTGATGTCTTTCCGGTACCGGGAGGGCCGTAGAAGAGCATATGAGGCAACTATTTTTATTTCCAGTCATGTTAATGGTTGACTTGGTTTGTCTCAAGTAGGGCTCTTAACACACGTTGGAGGCTTGTAATGTTCGTTGGAGAACGTTTGTTGTATGGTCCTGAGCTGCGACATCATCTAGCGTCTTTGGACGGCTGAAAGATTTTGTTAACCATATGCCTCTGCCAGGTCCCATTTGGAACAGTACGTACTATTTTTCAACCCAAGGCTGTTGCTGCGCATGTTCCTCTTTTCCATCTGTCAGCTTCTGCTTCGAACTGCTTGATGCTGCGGCCGCAGCACGGGCTTTATTGTTGAAAAAGTTGGCAGCCATGATATTTTACCCAGAGGCGAAGACCGGATTTGTAGGGATTGAGTCCAATTTTGCCAATTTGGTCGTTACCGATTATACCAGTTTCTCCAGTAAAGCTCCCTGGAAATGACGGAGGATGAGCGTGTCGGAACGCGTCCCCACGTGATACGCGATTTATTGATGCCAAGACATTTATTGGTTTATGTGGATCTATATATGAAGCATTAGAAGTAGACAACAACTCATTGCTTCTTCCTATTGTTCTTGAGAATTGCGCTCCCCAGGCAGAGTAGAAGAATAACGATGTTCAATTATCACTGTACATATGCAGCATTGTTGTTGTGATCACTGACTATTTGTAATTTTTTTTTTTTTTGGCTAATCTACCTATAGCTCATCTTTCCTGTTTTCTAGTACTTCGGTAGCCTCATACATCCTTTTCTTCGTATTTTGAGGGAGTTCCGCTTGCCTCTGTTTCTCTTCTGGTGAAATGTCATCAATGTTAGTCTCATCAATCTCCTCTTCTTGTTGTTCAGTCACTTCTGTTGGCTCCTCTTTGGATCCCACTTCATTGTCCTCAACCATGTTACCGATATGATCGATCATGCGGTCTTCTTTTGCCTCCGCAACGGGAGGTATGTCCCAGATAGCTTGGCCGTCGGCAGTTTGAACATTTGCCTCGGCCTCAAGAGTCGGAAGCGGCACCTCCTGGGCTAAGCTTTCGCTAGGAACAGCAGACGGGGAAGGCTGAACGGCTTTGCTGGATAGGCCAACCGCGCCCAAGATTGTGAATACGAACTTCGCTGCTAACCTAATCGGCAACCATACAAGCCACCACATAGGTCCGTATAATATTCGGCGAAACAAAAGCCATACAATGGTGCCAATTAGAATGTAGAACGCAGTTTCAAGATACCATGTGTCGGACTTTTGCGAGCGAAGCAGTGAACCAACAAGGTTCCGTGACGATGATAGAAGAGTATCAAGGCTTGTATAAGATTCTGATAGCGATGAAAGCGCAGCGGTCGATTGCTCTGTAATACAAATTAGTCAGAGCCCGAAGTATAAGCAGAGAAGGAAGCAGACCTAGTGTCTCTTGCGCAAATTGACTTCTAGATAACTCTGCCTGCATCAGATGATGCGTTCTCCGCAATGCCACGGTAACATCACTTGAGGTATTGAGTAAAACATCATCTTGTGTCAATTTCTCAGTCGATTCCCTCTTCCTTTCAGCGCTCTGAGATCTCGAAAATAGCAATTCCCTTTCTTTGCGCTTGGCGATTTCCGCATTCCGCTTCGCTTGTAATTGCGCATTTCGGAAGTCTCCTCTCGTTCTGTCATGAATCCATTAGTTTCGTGGAGAAATGATACCAGCCGTACATGTCGCACAGCACAGGCAATGCGATATAGCCCACTTACTTTTTCAAGTCTTCCGCTAATCTCCCTGCCAACGCAACAACCCGTTCCCGTTCTAACTCCTTCTCGTTATCCACTCCTTTCCGTCTGCCTTCTGGGGCAGTTTCTAATGCTTCAACGTCAACCCTCAAGACCTCCAATTGTATCTCTGCCTCTTTCAGCAGACTATGGATCTCCGCCCCTAATTCTAACCGAGCTTCATCGCCTTGCCCAACGGCGGTCGTAAAGTTCCGCAATCGGGACACGAGAGGATGAATCTGCGCCAACGATGTCGAGAGCTCTTTTAGGCGAGCTTGAAGGGCGGATATAGAAGACATATTCAAGGTAGCATGCAGAGCGATGTTGTGAACATTCAGTGATGTCGGATAAGTTTGGTATCACGAATCGAGAGGCGGTTCTCTGGCGTGTGAAATTTGCATATAATCGTACTGATTTCAACCAGTTCTCTAGTGACCCTCGCCAGCTTCCGTAATAAGTGGTTCACAAATAAGCAAATGTTATGCCAGCAGTAGAAGACACAATTCCATCAATACAATCTGGCCGCAGCGTCATCGGTCCAGGAACGATTAACTATATCCAAAATAGAAGGCGGTACAGGAAGGCGGTCTAAGGGGTCGCGCTGGTCAACTCTCGTGAATCCCGACCGTGGAATAGGGCTTCGTCGCTGGTATAGTTTGATAATTGTACCTCTACAGTAAATAGGCTTTTCCAATCGATAAGTAGCTTAGATAAAAGGTAGAGTTGTAAAAATCCTAGCACAATTTTTTAAATTTTCGAAAGAGCCATATCTTGCTGGTCACAGTGTGTAAACTCTGAACTATACAAAAGATACACAATTCAACGATGCAATTAATGGAGTGTTCAAATTATTCTGCCAGGTAATTCTGCGGTAGGCGACCGCATCCAATCAATGTTTGCATCTCCGTCAAACACCAAACATTCCTCCGCTTCCCGGTGCCTGGAGAAAGTCGAGGTAATTTTCTCGGGTTTGATATACAACCGCAAATACGCCGTTATTTCCCTTCATTGACGTTGCAAAATTGAAGATATCCACAACGTTGAGTTCCCTTACTGTCAGCATTACGCTCAGAAGCCAAAGCCGCGCGCAAAAGTCAGTTATCCGACCAATCAATTTTAGGACACCCAACTGATCTGATCCAACAGACCTCCAATTACTCAAGCTCTCCGACCCAACAAGATCGGGTCCAGTTCTTCAAGATGACTATTCCTGTCCAAACGATCACCTCCCTCCGCACAAGCTTTAACCCGTTCTCCAAGTCCGCCCGCCCCTGCAGGCTTCTACTTTCTATCCTTCGCAATCCCAATACCGCCCCGGCATCCAGCCCTACGCACATCGATATCAAGGTTAAACAGCTCCCGCGTGTCTCGACACAACAGCCCGAGGTAACGGTGGGCTTCAAGGGAGGAAAGGAACTCAAGATCGAGGTCGGAAAGCGCCAGCTGAAGATCGGCGATGTCATTGAGGAAATTGCGCGTGTGGGACGGGCTATCGAACGAGAGGAGAGCTTGAAGGGTTAACAGAGTTTCTTGTACGCAAATCCGTTGTTATTATCGTGGTTGATTTTAGGGTCCGCCTATGGCGCTTGGAGATCGGGACTATTGTACTTTTACGTCGCAGATGCGAAGCGGTTGAGTTACCGGGGAAGCTCATCGAAAGCATTATGATACCGTTACTTTGTGTATATACTACCTAGCCATCGAGGGATACTGCATTTTGAGAAGTGTTTGTCTGCATGATCTAATGTCTCCATTTTGCAGAATGCATGGTTTGAAAGCCAAATCTACGAACTATAAAAAAAACATCGCAAGCACGTTCTTTGATGCTTAGTGGAGGTTGTAAAGTAATGCGGACAAGACAAACAACAAAAACAATGGAAGATCAAGTAAAATTACGTGGACTCGCCCATGGGCTGAATCCAAAATTGTGGGACTTTTATTTACTTTAGTTGGTATCAATTTACACAGCAGCACCGGAGATGAAGAACCACTTGTCGACGCTGCCATCAATAGGGGCAGGAGGGAGGTTCTGGCCCTGAGGGATGGCGGCAAGCTCGCTGGGGTCAGCATGGTCGGGGGAGTTCGCAACGGTGACGTTCTTGCTATAGAATATGGTCAACATGGCTGGCCTTCTCATGGAGGAGAATGTATACTTACGTGCTGATCTCGCCCTTGGGAGACTTGCCAGTCATGAGCTTCTCCCAAGCATCAGCGCACTCACGGATGACATCGAGAGCGTACCTGATACGAGTGTTAGACATCATACAGGATTTAGAAAGACAAGGGTTATCAAGCATACTTCTTGTTCTTGCACTCGCCGGAGAAAGCGAACTGGTTCTCGGGCTTGCCGTCGGGGATTTTGTAGATACGGAACCACTCGTTGGTGGCGCGGAGGAGGCCAGGCAGGTGACGCTCAACATCCTCAACGTCGTTCAGCTTAGGAGCCAGAGGGTCGTTGACGTCGATGACAATGACCTTCCAGTCGGTCTCTTCCTCGTCAAGCAGGGCCATCACACCAAGGACCTTGACCTGCTTGACCTGACCGGGGTAGCCGACAAGCTCACCGATCTCGCAGACATCGAGAGGGTCGTTGTCACCCTTAGCCTTGGTCTCAGGGTGGACAGTGTTGGGGTCCTCCCAGGTCTAAAGCAAACCGTTAACCGACCGAATCATGTGGCATCTGTAGCAATGCGAAACATACCTGAGGGAAGGCACCATAGTTCCAGAGGTAACCCTTGTGGGGGAAGCAGTTACGGACGTAACGGAGCTTGCCCTTCTTGACATCCTGCTTGATGGGGTTGAGGAACTCCTCCTTGGAGATCTTCACACGTAATCAGCGTCGGTACTTTGCGATATTGAGTGGTTCCGCCCCCATACCTCCTGCTTGGCGTTGGTCCAGCGGGGGATCTCAACGACCATGTTAAGGATAGTCTGCTCCTCGTTGGCGTAGAGAGGGATATCGTGGAAGGGAGAGACGGGCTGGCCATCCTTCTCAATGTAGACACGGTGCTCCAGGGTGTTGGCCTGGGCGATCTTGCGAACGGTGTAAGACATTGTGGGCGACTGCGGCGGGGTAGCGGACGAAGAAAAGTGTCGAGAAATTAAAGCAGCACGAGTTGTTACGGACGAAGCCGAATGAGCAACTCGGGGGGGAGGAGAGAAGGATGAAGGAGACAAAACGGCAGATGAAGGAGAGGAAGAAGAAGAAGAGAGGAGGGAGGAGGGAGAGGAAGAGGAAGGGGAAGGAGGGGTGGCTTGTTTAGTGGGGGGAGCCAACGTTGCGGATGTGCGTGATACGCAGGCGACAATCGGAGAGGCGGTGGACAATCGGTTTAATGGAGCTGTGCGCAGTCTTGGAACGAGACTGGTGGATGACGACCCCAGGAACATTGGTTGCGGGAAAAAGAAGCTGCAAGAACCCGTCTCTGTCGGCTCAATTGGAAGTTTAAATACCGGTAGTTTTGCTGTACAATCGCAGTTCTATGCTCGGCTTGTCTTGTGAAGATTTAGAGGAGAGGGAATTTGCCGGGAAGAAAATCGGTGCCGGGACGCCATTCCGAGGTTCGTTGCTATGTTTGTTGCCAAGCGGGTCATGATTATTCAACTATGTAAATAATCTTCGCTATCTATATACAACTATATGGTTTAGAGACTCTTCGCTTTACAGTCAATCGCTATTTTGGTGGACTCGTACACAGGAGTAACCCTTATAGACTAATTCTCTCTCTATAAAATCATGATGTGGCAAAAAGGGGAGTGAGAAGAGGAAACCTGGTCAATTCCATTGTCAATGGCCGTCCCGGTGAATCAATCCTATGGATTTGCTCCACTATACTGGTCCCGCTCCCACTCTTGCTTGCTGGGTTGCTGGGTTGCCTCTGAGAGAGTCCAGGACCGTCTTATCCAACAAATTCAGCCTCACTTGGTATGAATATCCAATAATCGAATCGTATTCTTCGTCTCGCACGGAGTGGGACCTCAAATCTAGAGTACAAAGAATCAGAGTTTAGGGTTGTTGGCGCTGGTGCCTGAACGCCTGAAATGGCGCCATCAGCAGGGCTGTCACGTGCATAGTTCCCTTCGTATTCTTCTTGTCAGACACTAAGATAATGTGCCAATGCACTAGTGTGATTGACTTTCCAATGGGAAGATTGGAGTTTCACAGATAATAGCTGGAATATAGAAATGTTCGGACAGATCACTAAGATGTATACCAGTCCCTTCTCCATCGTAGACGTGATTACTGTACTTGGCCCCTATTTACTTGGCAGGTACCGCCCGGTAATATGCAATACCCGTCACAATAGCCGGAGTGAAATGAATGCACAGGAAAATTTTAACTTATCGGCTATCTTCACGTGATATAGACATTTTCTCTCCGCCTTCCCAGGATAATGAACTACTCCCCCCATGTCTAACTATACCATCGCCCCAACGGAGTCGATATCTTGACCGTCTGAGTCAATCACGGCGAGACAGACAAGTCCATTACAGGTCGCTTTACCTTTGAAGTATGCTATGCTCAGATTTCTCCGCTCCGCAATGACTTCACTCACTACACCACCTCGCGTTCCTATCCCCGCGAACGGGGTCGACTATCGTGGCAAAATAGTCCTTGCGCCGATGGTCCGATCGGGAGAATTACCTTCTCGCCTTACAGCCCTTAAATATGGTGCAGATCTGGTCTGGGGTCCCGAAACGATTGATCGCGCTCTCGCCGGCGCCTCTCGCCGCGTCAACCCTCGCAACGGATGCATTGAATATACGAGGCTGCCGTCGAACGGTGGTCGCACCGAAGCAGCATCACAGGAATCGGTTATTTATCGCCTTGATCCGGTGCGAGAGAAAGGGAAACTCATCTTCCAACTCGGTACAGCCTCGCCCGAGCTCGCTGTGGAAGCCGCCAAGATGGTCGCTGGTGATGTTGCTGGGATCGATGTGAACTCCGGATGTCCGAAACCATTCAGTACAAGCGGCGGTATGGGTGCTGCGTTGTTACGGACACCTGATAAACTGGTTTCAATTCTGGAGGCGCTTGTCCGCGAGGTTGGCAACCCTTATCAAATCGGTATCTCCGTGAAGATCCGCATCCTTGAGAAGTCGGAGATTACAGAGGAGTTGGTCTCAAGGCTCGTCAAGACAGGCATTACAGGCTTAACGGTCCATTGTCGAACACCAGCCATGCGTCCTCGCGAACGGGCAATCCGCGACCAGCTACGTATGATCCGCGACATCTGCCATAACGCTGGTGTCGCATGCCTCATGAATGGCGATGTGACCTCCCGTGACCAGGCGCTGGCTTTGATGGAAGAGTTCGGTGTAGATGGAGCAATGATTGCAACATCCGCCGAGGCTAATCCTTCCTGTTTCCGAAGCGAAGCAGATGGGGGTTTGCTTCCATTCAGAGACGTCGTTCACGCTTACCTAAAGTTCTGTATCGAGTCCGAGAATCGTTTCGGTAACACCAAGTATCTACTGAATGTCATGATCCCGGGCAAGAACAAAGAGTTCCAGGACGCAAAGGGCTCCAAGAACTATGCCGATTTCTGCCACATGCTGAGGTTCGACGATCTCATGCCAGCTGCGCTCCAAGTCGATGAGATTCTAAACCTCACGGGAAAATCAGCTTTTTTCAAGGAAGAGACAAAGAACAAAGCTGTCCAGAACGCCATTGAGAATAACGAAACCGCTCGGGCAGCCGGTGGTGCTTCAAGACCGAAATCTACGTCCCCCGCCACCAGCGGTGTGGGACCAATTCGTACTAGCTCCATCCCTGCCCCTACGAAATCGAAGCCTAAGGAGAACGAGGCCAATCCCGAAATCCCTGAATCGGCTTCTCAGACATCCCAGAAACAGGAAGTCGCCGCATGAGCTCGGGACAGGCTCCTCTATGAAACCCAGTTTCATAATGATTGAAAGTCCCTACTATTGTTCCTCGTCCCTCCGCTTACCTGCGCCTCACTTTTTCTTCCTTTGTTGTCTTGGTCGCATTATATGGTGTTGAAATATCGGATTATTCTTTGGTGTTCATAGTTATAGATTCCCTTGGTGTGATAAAATCCAGTCGGTTGAAGACTTCTGAATTTCAACGGTACATACACGAATATATTAAAATCATGGATGTCATCATACTATTCTGATATATTAAATTTCCCACCCCTACCATTCCCGAGTCAATCGTATCGTACATGCCTGAAATGAATGACGTTGCCAACGAGGTAATAGAATCAATCAGATCATTCTCTTTGATCTATTAGTGCTCATAATGTAAAAAACTCTATAAAAAAAACCAGTTCTTACTCCGTCTCTATAAGCAGAAAAGCATTGGGAAAAGCGAAAAGATCAAAAGAAAGAGGCTGTTAAGTCAAAACAGCCAACACAGCCCCATGATGTTGCTAACTCCATTGTGACACGACAGATGCGTCCAAACAAGATCAGATACAACCAAGATATTGAGTGCGAACCATGACAAGTAAAAGCACGGTCTGATATCATCACACTCAAGAAGGCAAGTTGTATCCCATGACAATGTGCAGACAAGTAAAATCGCTAATACAACGGCGATGCAAACAGAGGTTCAGCAAAAAGTACAATCGAGCATGATAAATCAGGAAAGAAAACGAAATGCAATCGGCCCAGGCCCTGGAATCTTCGGAATGTTTGTGGCGCGTGTCCAAACGTCCTCGAATTTGCTGGGGCTTTTGTAAAGATGGATAATGCTCAGGTCTATGAAATCTCCAAGGACACGCTCTCATGAGGAGTTCTGTTTCTCTCCACTTGAGCCGGCAATGAGCATATCCTCTACCGCTTTCATACCTGCTTCTTCACTCTTCTTCGACTCGGCAGAATCCTCTCCTGCTACGGCTTGATCGAGAGCCAGTTTCGTCTGTCCGAGCGCGTAGATCTGTTCTTCGATTGTGTCCTTGGTAACAAGTCGGATGACTTCCACCTCGCGCGTTTGACCCACACGATGGGCGCGGTTCTCGGCCTGTACATCCTCCTGGGGGTTGAAGCTCGAGTCGAAGATCACTACTTTGTTGGCACAGGCCAAGTTGATACCTGCGCCACCGGCTTTTGTGGAGAGGAGGAAGACGGGAATCTCTGTCCGTTCATGGAAAGCATCGAGAATAGACTGGCGATCCTCGACGTTCGTACGGCCATCAAGTCTAACGAAGCCAAGGTGCTGGTTTTCAAGAACGTGTTCGAGGATATCCATCACCATAGTGAATTGGGAGAAGATCAGAGTGCGATCACCGTTTTCCTTGAATCGCTTCAGCAGTTCACAAAGTTTATCGATTTTACCCGAATCCATCCATTCATCGTTTTTCAGTGCAAACTTCCCAAGCGATTTGGGGTAATTCACACACATAGTATGGCATTCGAAGTCATTATATGCCTGTAGCTCTTCGAAAATAATGTCCGGGTTTGACAGGGACCACTGCTCTTCTTTGAGGCAAGCTTTCGCCATGCGGCTCAAAGTAGTGTCCTTGTAGTGACGTCTGTAAAGCAATGGATGGATAGCTGCTTGGCGTAGCTTCATCAGGATATTTGCAGACTTGTTGCCTGTCTTCTTTCCAGCTGCTCGGTCGGCTAACAGCTGACGGACCTCTTCTTGCTCATGTTCGTAAATTTCCCTCTGAGACTCGTTTAATTCACAATACTCAACTTTAGAAACCTTGGGAGGCAAATCAATGACCTGGTGTTTCTTCCGTCGCAGTACAAAAGGCTTAAGCATTGATTTTGCTCTTTCGATGCGTTGCGCCGAAAGCAAGGCAGAGTGGGATTCATCCACGGTCTTCGCCTTGTTTGCAAAGATGTTCTGAAGCTCTTCCTTGCGCTCCTGGAAAACCTTCGGAAGGATAAAGCCCAGTAGAGAGGCAAGTTCTTGGAGATTGTTTTGGAGTGGTGTACCTGTCAAAAGAAGCCTGAAGCGAGCCCGGATTCTGATCAGTTTCTCATAGAGGACAGACGTAGAACTCTTGAGCATATGTCCCTCGTCATACACACAAACCGTAAAGTCCATGTTGCGCAGAAAGTGTGCATCAACCTTGGCTTTGGCAATGGTATACGTAGTGACAATAACGTTGATGCTGTCCCTGTTGTCCTCGATCGTTTCTCGAATCACTGCCCGCTCAGCCTGGCCAGCGTAGTATGGCATAACAGAGAGAGTTGGACAGAACTTCTGAAACTCTCTGAGCCAGTTTTCGATAGTGGATGAAGGCACGACGATGAGGTGCGGCCCCTTGATGCCCTTCTCATACAGATGGGCCAAAAACGCAATGACCTGGCAAGTCTTCCCGAGACCCATATCGTCCGCCAGGATACAGCTCAATTCTTTCTCGAAAAGCAATGACAACCAATTAATTCCGACGATTTGATAATCTTTCATCTTCAAGTCTTCGCGCATAATACCAGGCTGGGATATGAATCGGCTTTTACGGGAGCCAGTTGCAGGGCCATCACTATCATCCTCTGAACGCTGACTGGCAGGAGTACCGATGCCAGAATCATGCGATGCCCCGGGGTTGATCGATGTCAGCTCCAATTCCCCATCACGCTTTCCAAAAATATCGACACCCCATTTCTTCATTTCCGAAGCAATCGGCTTTCCAAGCGCCTCACATTTTGCCACCAACGAATCAACGGCTTCGTACCCAACCCACATATCCATGCATTTATCCACAATTTTATCACCAATTGGCTTGGGCGTTTTACGCCCCCGACTACCCTTTGGCTTCGCGGTTTGCTCCGTCGTAGGCGCAGTGACGACGCGTACTTCATCCAGAGATGCAAAAGGTCGGTTGGAGATTATGATATTCGCAACATCTTCGGTGATTGCGGCAATGTCTGCAAGGTCAAGGACATTGCATGTATTGAAGAACCTGAGAACCTTGGTTTCCAATGGGCTCTCACCCTCCGGCATGGCTTCTACACCAGAATCTGAGTCATCTGACATGGACGCCTCGGGTTCTGAAGGTTCGGGTGATGGGTGCTTGCGCCCTTGAACAAGTCGGCCGGGCTTCTTTTTTGGAGGGGACTCTGAGCGATCTGGACTCGGGGAAGAAACACGGGTCTTTGGCCCCCTGATTAAACGTCTTCTTGGTTTGGATTCTTCGTCGAATGGTTGTGTAGGTGCCTTCGGGGTGGTGCGATTGTCCAGGCGCATCGCAGCCCACTTATTCTGAATAGTTCCTCGAGCTTTGATCTGCTGCTTTGCCGGCGCAACGGGAGAGGCTCTTTTATTTAAAGCCAATTCATCGTCCGACAAGTCGGCTCTTCCATCTGCCTCATCTTCAACCATGCTAGCCAGATAATCCAAAGCGTCGTCGTAATTTCCACGCTTCGTTAATAGAGCATGCATGCAAGCTTTAACGGACTTTTGAGGTATCACTCTTTGCATCTTCTCTACCTTGGCCCTCAGCTGATAGTCTTCAATATCCTGTAAAGATGATATATTCAGCTCCACCGGCTGTGCGCGGGAGGGCCCATCCTGCCGAGGTTTCTTGACCGCAGTCCCTTTTGGCACAGGGTCCATTTGAGCCGCCGGACGTTTTGCGCTCGAGGGATTATAGACGGCAGACGCAGTAATCTCTTTGAATCGGTCGAGAGAAGAATTATTTGCGCCTCCCGGTGAGTCTAGAACTTTTTCGGGATTCCGCGAAGATTTGGCAAACAAGGACGGCTTGATGTCAGTACTGCTTATCATTTGAACGTCGTCGTCGTCCGAAGACCCTCCACGATACGTTGGACCGTCATCCTCAAGATCTATTACCGGCGCACGCTTCGCAGGGCCGACCGCAGGGGCGCGGAACTGGGTACCGCTGGGAGCCATTGCGCTGGCAAGGCGACCGCCGAGCAAGGCAGGACGAGAAGGAGACGATGTAGGGCCGGGCGGGGAAGACGCAGCAACTTGAATGACAGGATTGCCCTTCGCAGAATAGGGAGGCTCTATGATCTGTGTTGGTTGTGTTAGACGTTGGGTCGCCGGAGTCAGCGATTGGGTTGCGGGTTGTTGAAAGTTTGGCAGCGGAACAGTGGCGACAGTCTCATATCCTTCCTCCTCTTTCCCGGGCGGCGTATTGTGAATGATTTTTTTGTTGCTAACCGGGGTATCAGGAACTGAGTCGTCCATGGTTAGTACGTCTTGTCCGATATTGGTGAATTAAGTTGAGGCCCGGCCACTGCGACAGGAAGGCAGCTTCGCTGAGATGACCGGGGAGAAAGTTCCTTCTTTTCCCCAACCTGAACTTTTCCTCAAATTAAGTTAGAAAATGGGCTTTTTTTCTCCGCATGAAACGCGCTCAGACGCGCCCGCGGTCACGTGGGATGGCGCTTCAATTAAAGACTGACCAGGAAATCCAGCAACATCTCCAAGTTATATACATGGAGCGAGGTAAACAAATTTTGAAAAGAAAGTCACTTACCATACACTGTATATCCTTTCACCTGAATTGAAAGTGATCCATATAATCTCTCGGTGTTGAAAGGATGTTGGAGCTTTTCGAACAATCGGAGGCTTCCAATGGCCACGGACCAATGAGATATGCGCGTACAATGACCTCACCTGAATCACGTCCGCCTGGATCGAGTAAATCAATGATTCAATAGACAATCCTTCTTTAGTCTTTGGATACAGAGAACCGGTTTATAAATATAATCAAAGGGCTCAAAAATCAATTTGGCCTCAATTCGATTAGCTTTCTACGTGCAGTTGAACTTCCTCCCTTTGCTCCCAGCCCCCCAGGGTAACACCATAGCTGTTCGGTCCACGCACTTAGTATCAACCTAACACCCTTTGCTATCCAAAATGGCCACCCGTCGTCCTCAGGGTAAATCATACGCAGAAGCGGTCGCTTCTCCCGCGCCAGAGAAGACATCTGATTCCGATGTTACCCCTGCAGTTCCCACGTAAGAGTTTTTCTCCGTCTGGTTCCCATCCTATATCTGCATTCATGCCACATGGCCGATGCGCGGCGTTGAGCCCGATAGACATGTAGTGTCTTGTGCGAACCAAGGCGTGCCGCCGCTGAGAGTGCCCCACCGATGAATTGTCACAAATACTGATCCCTCGTTACAGGAATGTCATCTTCAAACTGCTAGGGTTTTCCGCGGCGATGGTCTCACTGCCCATTGGCATGTACTTTGTTGCAGTAAAGTTTGGCGGTAAGCTCCTTTGCCCCTTGGCCTCTTTGTTTACTTCTTTCTTTCATAATATCGGTGTACCATTGAGGGATAATTACTAACATCAGGTAGCGAGTCCAACTGTCGCCGGCATTATTGCGGCTGTTACGGCTAATATTGTCTTGTTTTCGTATGTCTTTGTTGCATGGCAGGATGATCGCCTGGAGAGAGAAGCCTTGACAAAAAAGAAAGAAAAGAAGGCGCAATAAGGGGCCTGGGGTCTCTAGCGGGATTACCAATCGGTTTACGTTTATGCGTTAGTCTTTGTACTTAATATGCGGCGTTCACGGACAGCTGTGTTGTAATTCTACTTCGGTTTAGTCCAAGGATGATAACTCGTGTGGACTTTGAGAATATCAGTTGAATATCTGAGATTCCTACACCATTCAACTAAATCCATGAATGTGAACACGCCCACAAGGGTGCCGCAGGCCGTTAAGATGTCCCGTTTCAGACCCTTGTGGAAGACGATAGTTCCAGTATTACAACCAGCCCATGTTGAAAAAGCCGCGCCTGGAAATGCACTGACAGATTTATATAAACAAGTTGAACCCGAGCCAGAAGAAGAGAAAAAATTAAAGAAAAAGAAGGAGAGGGATATGTTAAGATCCAACTTATGGCCTCCTCTTCACGAACTCCTCCAGGTCACCCTTCGTCACCACTCCGAGCACAAATTTCCGTGATGCATCTGTTACAACGGCAAACTCTTGTTTCTCTCGCTTCTCGCCATTGGGACCGGCTTCACTCTCGAAGAATTGCTCCAATTCCTCCAAGGGAGTCTCCATTGTGATTACCTGGTACAAGCCCCGTTTCCGGTTAAACCGCTGCATGGCGGTAGACACGGAGTCTGATTCTTTGATAGTTCCGTCTTTTAAGAGTTGCTTGAGCCGGGGAATGCTGAGGTAGCCAAGTAGGGATCGTTTCGTAGAAGAGGTGACGGTTAAATGAGTGAAATCACGTTCGTAGGCTGCGAGCATGGCAGAGGAGACTAAGTCGCTAGGGGAGACTGACAGTGCCGGAGGGGGGTCCAGATCTTCGACAGTAGCCTTGAATTTCATGTCAGTAATGACAATGGGTCAGACGTGGAATGCCATCATAGAGTGGTAACTAACCCCTCGGTACTTGTCTGCCCACGATGACGGGGAAGTGGACTGCTGCACAGTAGAAGAGAGTTTTTCGCGGGCAAAGGCCTCGCTGCCGGTCGAATAGGAAGCCATATCCACCGAGTGATTCACAGTGAGGGACGGCAAAAGCGATTTTAGGAGGGGTACGAGGAGGGGCCAACTATGATGTTCAATTGGCGATAGCAACGGCTTCAGATCGAGACACCAAGTATTACAGGGTATATTCGGAGAAACACGGCTTTGCGAACACTAAGAGCCAAGGATACGGGGTAAGGAGACCGGTTCGTGTTTAACAATATCGCAGGTGAGGTCTGTTCCAATGGACGATAAATTTATCGATTGCGGCCCACGAGCCTTAGTTTCCGCCCTCTAAGCGGATCGGGTTTGGCGTCAACCAGAAGTGGGTGTCACGATACCATTCGACGTCATTGCCGGCCACTGCCGCAGTGTCAGATTCTCTCCCCCTTTCGATTATTTGGCCTGAGTCACTTTTCAATCTACTATTTAGACTGTCATACTGCCCCTTCAATATATCTGAAAGAAGAAAAGGTTGCTAGTTTGAGTAGTTCGTGTCCAAACTATTTTGTACTCATTGAGATACCAGTTGCCCTACAAGTGGGGACGATCTTCTTTATAGATATATACAACCACCAGTACGTGCGGTTTGGTCCTGTGGGGACCTCCCAACCTACAATAAACCCAATATTTTGACACGGCTCGACTAGAAAATTCCTCGCCAAGATGTTTCCCTCTGAATATATCATTAGCAGCACGTTTTCCTCACAGCACCCTCTGAACCAATCCGGAAAGCAGTCGCAGCTTTCGAGAGCCCCGGGAACAAGAGGGCGGGAGCCGTTTCCAGCATGGAGTGTGATCGATGATACCAAAAGCAAGGCAGATGCTTTTGCAAAGGAGGCGTCACGCGAGTTCAATGTTGTAAGCCAAAAGGCTCAGGCCAAAACCGGCAAAATTGAACCGTGGACTCCCAAGTATTACGCAGCCTGCACAGTCGGCGGACTTCTTGCTTGCGTAGGTTATCCCTTGTATAATATGATGATGGTCGCTTTATTCGCTGTTTCAACCTTCTGATTATGGGTAGGGTCTTACCCACACTGCCGTGACACCGCTAGATCTCATCAAATGCCGACGCCAAGTTGACCCCCAGCTTTACAAAAGTAACTTAGAGGCATTTCGTACGATTCGCGCCGCAGAGGGCTTCAGAGGAGTAATTACTGGCTGGGGGCCTACCTTCTTTGGATACAGCGTACGCTGGTGATGCAATTACTGACATTTAGTAAACGGAGCTAACGAACAGAATAAAGGCCCAAGGAGCGTTTAAGTACGGTGGCTATGAGTTTTTCAAGAAGTTCTACAGCGACCTTGTTGGAGTGGAGAATGCAAATCGCTGGAAGACGTCCTTGTATCTCACAGCTAGTGCATCTGCAGAGCTTATTGCTGATGTAGCACTCTGTCCTTTCGAGGCCGTCAAGGTGCGCATGCAGACAACAATCCCACCTGATATCCGATCGACTTTCACTGGGATTTCCAACGTTGTTTCTAAGGAAGGGGTGGCTGGGTAAGCACTCAGTTATACGTTGCAGTTGCAGCTGGACCGCATTGACTTCGAATAGACTTTACAAGGGTCTATATCCGCTGTGGGGTCGGCAGATACCGTACACCATGATGAAGTTTGCTTCATTCGAGACCATAGTGGAGATGATCTACAACTACCTACCGGGTCAGAAGTCTGATTACAACAAAGGCGCACAGACTGGGGTGGCCTTCACTGGTGGCTACTTGGCTGGTATTCTTTGCGCTGTTGTGTCCCATCCCGCCGATGTGATGGTGAGTAAATTGAATGTAAACAGACAGCCTGGCGAAGCCTTTGGTGCTGCGATGGGCCGGATCTACAAGGAAATCGGCTTCGCTGGCCTGTGGAATGGTCTTCCTGTCAGAATTGTCATGATCGGAACTCTGGTAAGTCAACAACAGACCTTGTTGAGGCATCCGCTAACCAAAGGGATCCGTAGACCGGTTTGCAATGGATGATGTATGTATCCCTTGACGCTCAATGTACTATTTGGGAAATTGACTACTGACACCCGCCAGTTACGATTCATTCAAGATCTTCATGGGTCTTCCCACCACCGGTGGAGGACCTGCCGCCGAACAGAAGAAGTAGAAGCGATTGGTGATGTCTAGCCTACTACAAGCAGTAGGTGCCTTGTTATCGTAGGAATTTAGTGAGGGAAGACTGTCATTCTGGTGGTTTATAGCTGCGTAGTGATCATGAATGTGAATGCTTGACTAGTATTCCAATATCATCTGCCAAGACCAAGCCTTATCCACTGGACGGGTTTATCAACGATCGTTAGTCACGGACTGGACCAATGGCTTGCATCCCAGCCCCGTTATCTTATCATTTATCTGCCCGATTGATGGTTTCGCGCCGACGTCACCGAGTTAGTATATGTCGATTGTGAACCTGATCCCTGATAAACCCCCGGTTCAATAAACCTTTAGGAATCTTTCGGGACTTTTCAGGGCCTAGTCCGTCTCCTGAGTCTGAGGAACCGCATAAGACGCTCTCGTGGTTTCTCGGTCCTAAACTCTACCTTTTAGTTTATTTCCACATCTCGAAGGCGCTGACTGCCCACCAGCGCATAGATATAAGTACTGAACTCCTAGCCCGACTTTCGCGCGCAAGCGACTTCTCTCGAAGCCACCGAATATTCCATCCCAGCTCTAGTCGCGGCGCCTACTGACCTACTCCACATCATCAACTAACCCCCATACCGTCCTTAACACCATGGGCGAACACGAACCTATCGTATCGCACGGCCGCGGAGGTACGCTTTCTTTTTGAATACACTATCAAACCATACCCCTCTCACCCAACTCGCTCTAACATACCATCTCCCACCCTCAGGCCAAGGCAACATCGGCGCCGACTCAACCCAGTGCGCGCCAATATTCCTCACCTTCCACACTTCCCCCATCTAACAAACATATCACAGATATGTCGACGGCGGTATAGTCCGTGAAGGCGCCTACGGAGACCAAGGCGATGGCGCATACTCCGCCGGCGTAAGTACATACCTTCCCACTCGACACCAAGCCAAACCAACCATCATGGACAACTGACCTCTTATACTCCAATAGCGCGGCGGCGCAGGCAATATCGGCTCTCCCTACGTACGTCCCACAACAGGAACTCCTCACGATGCGGAAATTATTCCCGAGCTGGCGATTCGCAATTCGACCGACGGCGATTATCACACCGGTGTATGTCTTTTCTATAACCCCCTCCCCTCCTTGCGTAGATAAGAGTGTGGCCTAATGATGTCAGCGTGGCGGACAAGGAAATGTCCATCTTGACGAGGCGCATAAGAAAAAGGAGGAAGAGAAGAAGCAGCATAAGGCGCTAGCGCATGATGGGTGGGCGGATAAGTTGAAGTATAAACTGTTTGGGAAAAAGTGATCTTCTTCCCTTCCCCCTTCTTCTTCATCTTCTCCCTCCTTTTGTTAATGGTGGGTAGGGGGATGGGTTTTTCATTACCAAGTTAGTAGTGTGGTTTGTGTGCGCATTTATGTTAATCTTGATTCCCATGTTTTGTGATTTTCTTAGTGGTCATTTGTATCTGAGAGATGTTTATTCCTTGTCGACGTTGAGTTCTATACTATCTTAATGTCCCAGTTCTAGACACTGTCGAACATAGCGAGAAGCTATAGAAGCCTCATTAAGATGTGATTACTGCAGCGTTAAACCCTATTTACAATCATGTAAATTACCGATGTGATCTCTCACATTTGCATATTGATCGACGGATCCGCGTCTGGAACCAGAAGCTGAATTCAAGACATACGACTCCGATCCCCATTTCATAAGAACAAAAATGAATAAATTCACCATTGCTTCCTGTGTATCGTGATCTCGTAAAGTCCATCAACTGCGTGCTTGAAAATAAATATGAACAACAACAACAAAAAGCAATAACAACAAGCTAGAAGCTAATTTAAAACAGAAGGGGAAAAAAAAAATACACATAAGTTCCTGTACTGTCCCGTTCCGTAGATCCCATTGCTGTACTCGAGAATAAAACGCCAAATGAGTTATTACATCCGTTATGTGAGGTGAGAAAACACGCATTGAACGACAAATATTTTAGGTCGGTTAAAGGGGGAGAGGGCAAAAGTGGAGGACTTGATTTGGACTAGTCCTTGCTGAACCTTCGCTTAAACCAGCTTTTTCGCTTCGTGTCGCTTGCATCGGAGGCGTTCGTAGTTTTGCGAAGATGGCGACGGGTGGTGGGCGCACCTGCGGCTGAGGCTGGTCCACCCACGGGGCCTCCAGCGGTGGGATCGGCGACTGGAGCGGAATTCCCGAGCTTAATTGGTCCAGTTCCAGCTGCGCCAGAGGCTAATGTACCGCCATTGTTGAGGTTCGGTTCAGGGCCGAATCCCGCGAACCCATACCTTTCTGCTACTGCTCTCTCCTGTTGCTGCTGCTGAAGTTGTAGCTGGTCGATTGAGCTGTTTACAGAGCTGGGATCGGTTGAATTGTTGGCCCAGGGATCGGTATTGCTTCCCGACCCAGACGCTGCCGTCATGTTTTCGTAGGATTTGTGGTAGCCATTAGGGCCATATCCATTTTGTGCGCCATGGTACTCGGACTCCATGCGATGCCGACGTGGTCGCCTCCCGCCGCCTTGGTTGTATGGGTAGTGATTCTCAGGGGGCGGCCCGCCGCCATAGTTGCCCTCCATATAACTCTCCGGTCGGGAATATGTTCCACGTCCGTTGTAGTAGCCATTTTGGTCGTTATAGCCCCGGTGGTGACCGTTGTGTCCTGTTATCGTATTCAAGTCAGTAACGAAGGTAATTGGATGTGATGAGTTTATGTGACGCACCGCCGAAATAGCTACTGCGTCTACTATATTCCGCTCCAGGTGTGGATTCATGGTCTAGCTCTCAATTAGTATCCTATTAACATATATTTTTCCGAGATCGAACGTACCTGTTCTTGCGTATGATACCGGTCTGCTATTATATGATCCATAGATGGCTGCCTCAAAAGACCGAATTGTATCCAACGGACGCTCAAGTCGAGGACGGGTGGGATTGGAGAGATCGGGATCAGCTATTCAACGAAAACAGACAATTAGTCCATCGCTCTTCAATAACGAGACTCCAAATGATTAAGAAAATTGTAAACGAACTTATGATATTCCCGTACTGGTCTTTGTGCTGCATCTCCCTTAAAGAGCCGATAGTGGACTTTTCCAAAGCAACCAACACTAAATATGACCTGTCAGTTCGGAAACATGTGCCAAAGTGATCGGAGAAAAAAAAAATATGTCAAGACGGCAGGGTTTGAGAGAAACAAGAATGAGAAAACCGTTGCAATGTGAAACCCCAGCCGATAAGACACAAAATCGAAACATGGGAGTTAAATTTGGTAACATACTTGGTTGCGCCTCGCTCATAGCAACCATGGGGTCGGCTTTGGTATGTAAAGAACGTTTATGTTTCTCCTCAGCAGATTCAGTGAGACGGATTTTATTGCTGCCAGAATTGCTGGACTTGTCTGACCTGCCACCAAAACTGAAACCTCGACTGTGTCTCGGAGGCGCGGGCTGTTGGGGGGACGCCATTTTTAATACTCCCCGTCGTCCTTAGCGCCTGATAACTACCCTAGAACTTGTTTCGTAGCGATCTATCTGCACTATAGCGGCCGTTGTGGAGCGCAACAGCAAGTGGAGTGGAAACCGCCAAGGAATGTCTGATTCAAATGTAGCAGACAGCGACTGTCTCAGTGATTTCCACGAACCCTTGACAAGGGCAGCCAACGAGACGAGTGTGTGCAGGCGCGTGGGGGTAAATTTGGATCCGCTCCCTAACCTGACGTCTAGTTTGGCCTTTCTGGAATGGAATATTTATACCCCTCGAGTCCAGAAAATCGAATGCACCAATTTGTTTGTTCCCGTCTACCGTTCCAAGAAAAATAAAAGCAATGCTCAGTTATTGTTGTTGTCGTCGTCGCAACAGAGGGCGTGCTGCGACTGGTGCAGGTTGTCAGATAAAAATCTATCAGACGATCGGCAATGAATCCTGCAAGATGATCAGACCAAGGAACAGGCAACCGATGGGATGGTTTGGAGGGGAAACGGACGATGAGCGATCGACAATGGTAGCAATGGTGACAAATATGTGTATGGGGAAGACAGCGGCCGTGTATATGGTCGGCAAACGAAAGTCGGCAGGAAGAGATAGAAAAAAAAAAGAGAGAGAGAGAGAGAGAGAGAGACTGAGGTTTGAGGTTCACATTCAACTAAGGTTCACCACGAGGACTGTCGAGGCCTTTTTGACTTAACCCAGATTTGGGGTTGACGACAGGCGCCACGCAATAAGAGGGGAAAAGCAGTCTTCTGTATGGACAACGGGTTGGAACGTCTCCTATCAGCGTATTCGTTTCCAGGTTCCGCCGTAGTTTGTTTTTGGGTCGGACGATGGCGTTAGTCAAGTCTAAGCGGACTGGCCAGAAGTTGTTCCATCGGGTCTATTCTTAGATTGTATATCAAGTAGATCTATACAGCTTATGTGTAGTTAAGTTGATGATCATGACCAGGTTGACCATGCTTCCTGGTGTTTTTATTCTGTCGAAGCATCTTCCAATCCTCATTTACGCTGAAGAGCATCATCCAAGAATTCATGTTCCGGGATGAATCATTAGACTTTCAGGGTCGAGAAACCAGTATTTCTTTGATTTTAATTTGCTTGGTACCTCGTGACAGAGGCACCAACCGATTGGACCGCGGGTAAGAAATTTCCCTTTACAGTAGCCTAGAGAAAAAGAATTGAAAAGAAAACGAAAGACTACTAATCAATTTATTCTAAGAATAAAATTCTGCATTACTGTGTTAAAAAAAAATAAAAATAAAAAAAGGAAAAAGTTGAAAAGAAAAGCAAGTCCAATAGCAAACAAGAGTCAACCTGTGTGCGTTACGCAAGTTCTCCTCACTGGACACCAGAGGCACCAATCAGTAGGAAAATGTCGACCAGCCACCTCCAACAATGGTTTTCTCTCGGCTCCAGATGTGTCAGGAACTACCCTGGGAGCTGAGGTGATACGATAAGGTTGCAAGACTGTGTTGTCAAACCCACTGATCGTCCTGATCTTCTTTCTTGCGTAATGAATCAAAAAGCAGGGTGGGATCAATCAGAAGATTTTCATTGCCTCATTTGCCTACGGTGACAGCGCTACATCACCGTTACTCAATCCAATCTACCGTCTCTTTTATACACAGTAAAATTCATTTTTCACCTCTCAATTAGCCTCTCATCAATGTCTCAGCAAGGTGGTATTTAGATTACATACAAAACCTGTATTGAAATCGTTGAGCAGAATACTTATAGTACAGCAGGACTCCGTAGTCACAATGATTTAGCGCTATACACTAACTGAACCTTTTCGCTCATCCGCCATCATCCCATTGGTCACGGGAAAACAAAATCCTGATGTCTTGATATCACGTCCAATTGACAAGTCGGGGAATCTGCCGAATCTTCAAGTTATTCATAGGCAGGCAGCAACCTCGCCTTGTTTTATGCTGGCAGAGACTGCACTGGTTAGTAATTTTTGCTCGGACATAAAGCAATCAGCGTAAATATATAAATTGCCCATGAATTTTTTCTTGCTCTATTTCACATTCTGGGCACCCAATTTCCCCCAATAGGCCCCCTATTTATTTAGAAGAAAATGACCCCTGCAATCTCAGGCTTATATCAGGATATACATAATAGTTATCATTGTCAAAAACCATTTCCAAGAGGGCGCCAATGAAGGGATCCATGACGATCTTCAAATTACATTATGCAGTGGGTCATCACAGTGGGGGATGGCGCCTACTTTAATTCTGATTAACTCGGATCGAAAAGAAACCACCCCCATGCAAGGAGGCTAGCTTTTAGAATTCCAGAATCGCGTAGCGCCATCGCCGCAAAACTCGGGATAGCTTTAGGGCTTGTTGTCTAGCATCTCTCCCTAGTTGGAATGTCACAAGATGGTCTTATCGGAAATAAGACATCATGAATATGATTTTGTTTACCGATCGAAGTATCACCAAGTCCAAATATATCGATTTAATCGGTGTTAGAAATAAGGCGATTGCATTGGATAGTAGCGATATACCAATATGTCGGTGATAATCAAATCAAATAGTTATTTACAAGGCATGCTGAGTTTCTTCGTAGTCTATCTTCTTTGCGATGGCATCATATATATTTTGGCAGCAAGTTATAAATCGGATTGTGTCCTCGCCGGAATTGAAATCTTGATCCTAAGGGGTGCTCACTTGGGTGGCAAGGCATCTCATCCTAAATAATGAAACTCGGACATTGAGTAGGGCTTCTCCAACAGTTCCAGGTTATCTGTCGGTTCTTAGCTTCACTCAACTTCAACATGCACGCGGTCACCTTAGGATACTATAACCAGGACTGCGAAACACTACTCAGCAGTGCCCTCACTTCTCGCTGAGTTCCTCTATGCCTTTCCTGTACCACAATCAGTCTGGAATCGATTACCTGCTGCCACAAGTGCTGATAAAACTCTTTACATCCCAGCCTAACACCCCCCAAAACTAGAATAGCAGGGGAGTCGACGATTTTGCAATATTCAACGTCCTCTACAATATGACCCTGACAAGGGATGTAATGATCAATATGCTCAGACTTACAGGCACTGTGATCCGCAGCTTTCAAACAAGCCTTAAACTAGTATATTCTATGGCATATGGCATACTACCCCCATGTCCTCGGTTCGTACATATACGATGACCCCTGCAGTTACAGGCCCAGACTCAACACTGTACAACACTGTCAGCATTCTTTAAGCGAGAATTGAAGGGCCTCGGTTCCAGACAAGTCCATAGTGTGTGCCCAGCAATGACTGTTCCAGTCTATTGGTCTTCATGTAGCACACTATACCTACAGAGTCACGCGTGACGGAAGATCTAGGCACATCATATTTTTTTTTTTTTCAAAGGGAAACTGATGTAACGGAGTGACATGATGGCTTCTATAATTGTGTCACAGCACCATGGCCCCATAGTAGGTATAAGGCTAGACCAATCCCCAGATGATGTCTTTGGTCGAATGGTGTTTTCCAAAGAAAGTTTTGTCCAGGGCCATGGGTCATGTAGTAAACAAATGAAGAAAAGGTAGATGTTAAAGTGTCAGTTCCCTTTCAGAAGTATATCAGGTGTAACTGGACTTGAAGGAGAAGCACGCTTTATACAAGTCTGCTGGCTGTTAGTGTATTTATTAATCTATGCCCAGGGACCCTGTTGTAGTGCTGTTCTTGTTGTCTATGAGCTGAGAACTGCGAGTATGCATCTGACCTAATATATTATTGTGGAATTCACGATAATTTATCTTGCCCCAAGAGGTTATACCAACAAGATGTGTCCTAACAGGTCAGTTCGGCAACTGCCCAAAACTCACATGTTAATTGTATACGCAGGACATGGTAGAAATGACGTAAGTTACGATGTCCGCAATTGACGTATGACTCTTGAAAACTAAGGCTCGATCTACAAATCATCATAGTGTACGGATACAACAACAAACCCCAGGATTTGCAAGATAAGATCACAGCGATCAACGTCATATGAATTTGAGCCAATGTCGCATGTGGGCTCGTCTAGACTGGGCTTCATTTTCAACATTGCGAGCATCGGGAAAGGTTTATCGCTCCAAGTGGCTGCTGCTTGCCTATCTCGTCCTCCTTGTCCAACCTAGACTTCTATTCGAATAGGACCCGCCTAACGTCCGAATGTGAAATTGAATCATCATGCTGAAATGGTATATTGATTGGTGTGATGTGCGCCGAGTGGTGGAGAAGCCATGGTGTCAGAGAAGACACATGATGCTCGCCGGTATTGCAAACGGGTCAAGCGTTTCTAATGCCTAGTAACTGACAAATATCCATGCTGTAAAGAAGACATAAAAAGTTCTTTTTATTTTAATTCGTAGGGCTGGTCGGCCCTGCCTCTCCCACGAACATTATCAACCCGCCAACTCCATCTCAACATTGGCTCATACCGTCGACTCCTTGCCCGACTGTCTGCGCGAAGATTCCGGAGTGCCAACTAACACATAATAAAAGCGAGTCATTTAGATGTTGGAGGGGTAGAGCATGACGCGGACAGTAGCGCCGAAGGACTTAGGGGGGAGGTTGTGGCGGAACTGAGCACGGACAACGCCGGAGTTGCCTATCGTATTCTATTGTCAGTCCTGCACTTCACTGCAATTTTCACTACCATTGCCTGAGTTCCTTGCGCCATATAGCCCTGTTTCACATACCGTGAGGACGAGTAACCTTGCCCCAGATCACCCGGATGTTGGAACCCCGAACCTCGCGCTTGGCCCGGTAGACGAAAGCGACCTTCTTGCCGAGGTAGAAGTTGGCAGCCTCGGTGTTGTCAACACCGTCGATCTTGATCAGACTATATCACCGATGTCAGATTCCATGTCCCAAACCTCCTTTCGATATCAGATGCGGATCGGTACCTGGTGTTGGGGTTGACCTGGCGCTTGGAGCGCTGGTAGCTCAGGTGACGTCCCCTAAAGAACAATTCGTATTAATCCTCTGTTCTGATCATCTGTCGCGGTCCCATCCATATATTATCGTCCTCGCAGTCGATTTTTGATAGACATATATCATTTCCGGATACGCGCAGCACGAAGTAGTTGTGGTAACTTACTTGACGTAGACTATAATTCAGGAACATTCATGTTAGCATATCGTCTCCAACCGAGCTTCACGGAGCATCCTCCAAGTTTATATCCGACTTCAAGTGAACCCGTTGTCGCACACCCCATAACCATAACCATAACCATAATCGAAACCATAACATTCAACAATTCCAGAGGTGTACTCACGTCTGTGACCGTGTTCCGAAGGCATTCTGACGGCGGTTCTGAGCAACAGCGGGCAACGCAAACAAGTCGAGGAAATGACCCGCAAAAATGTCGTTCGGGTTGTCGTGGTTGTCGTCGCTTCGTAGGTATGAGACGGCGTTCACAATTTGCGAGGGTGTGTTCGGTGCGACTCGCCCTAACCCGTTCCGGGACGCTTAGCGAGCTGACTGGTCACCTGTGGTCGACCCCAGCCAGGGCTAGCCAAATCCCGTGATGGAGCATGGGCACAGGCCGCTAAGCCTAGTTTGGCTTCCACGGAGAAAATGATCTTCCTGTCCCCGAGATAAGCATTGACTCTAAATTCCTGCTGCAAGTCTCCACCGCATCGTTACCTTTTTTGCCGTCGGGCTACTGTGGTCCGAGGCCGGTTCGGGCGGCTATTCTAACGGCATGGAGCCTTTGTCCAGGATGCACCCCGCTGACAAACCGTGTTCAAGAGTCACAGTAGACTGATTATTCAATGACGACAAAGGCCCCGTCGCCCCTGCAGAGGGATCAGGTGCTGCTGTTACCTCTTGGGCTTCCGCTTTCACTTCATCGAATAGAAGACCTCAGTGCATACATTAAAAGTAAGAGCCGTGTGCTGGGTACGTATAGGGGCATTGGGGTTTGGTTCACCATTGCAGTGGTGCTCATCCATGATCCAGTGATGTAGTATGTACTCCATATGGGATGTACTCCGCTACGGAGTTTATAACTAAAGACGGCGCCCTTACAGAGTGATCATACCGGGAGCACATATTTGGAAATACAGCGAGTTCCGCCCCACAGGCAATCGGCAGCGACCTTTATATGATGTTTTACTCTGACGATACACGCTTGTATCCTGGTAGGACCGTAGAAGTTTGGAAAGAACTGAGGGAAATGAAAAGAAAAGAGAGAAGTAATTAGGAGCTCACTTCTACAGTACATCTACTATCTAGAGACAACAACCCGAGTCGCTATCAAATTCAAAAACCGACTCGGTACAATCGTGAGGCTAGGTTCGGCGTTAAAGCAGCCGAGTCGGTCTGATTACATTGTCATCCAGACTTTCTTTAAACTTACGGGAAAATAGAATCCGTAATAATTGACTGGCAGTTATCAACCTTGGATGACAAATCCGCCGATCTATCTCCACGAGTACGGTCACCGGGAGTGGTTTCTAGGAGCACGCAGTTCCGGCTACCCTAGCCTTCACAGCTTCTGGCGCGATCGATGCAATAGGCCGACCAGTATGTACATACCCTGTAATACAGTGGAGTCCGAAATCGCTCTTTGTGTACTGTAATCGGAGGGATACTTTCTAGTCTATATATTAAATTAAACTATACGAGGGGCAGATTCAATTGTTAAGGTGAATTGAAGATGGAACAACAAAGTGATGGTAACTAAGGGCTTAGAATACTATTCACTCATGTTGTCGTTGTAACCCTAATTCTGATATGCGCTCTCCGTAGAGAGTTAGTAATTCAGATTGCAATCCTCCTAGATCTAGCAAAGGAAAATTTGCTTGAGATGCCGTACTCTTCTTTCACATCCATAACGCAGTTATCCCCATTCAGGTGATATGCATGTTACTTGAGAATAAGCGGTTGTGAAACATAAGATTACCAGCCAGCTGATAGATCGCGCGGGGTCAGCAACATCCAACAGTTGCCTTGGATATGGAAAGAGTGGTACTCAGTGGATCTGAATTTTCCGGTAGACTTAGCCCAGTCCATCTTCGGATAATTTCAGGGATTACTATGATCTGATATTTTGACGGTAATACAAAGTTACAGACATGCTCTACAGGTACGGTGGTTGTAGTTACTACTATAGGTAGTGCAGTAGGGTCTGGTGGCTAGTTCAACTGTCACGTATGAAAATGGAAACTATGATATAAGAGGAGAGAGAGATTGCCACGACCGATGGGACCTGAGGATTCGCCAGGGAATTCATTATAATATGATAAGCCAGGAAGAACATCATCTTCTAGAAACTCTAGAAGCATGTTAAATTTATAATACCGAGTACAGGATTTGAATTCAAAGGTAAAATCTTATGTAGAGGGTACATACAATGATACAAAGGGGTGGAATAACAAAGAAATTAAAAATAAAAAAGGCAAAAAAAAAAAAAAAGGAGAAAGATCATGATAATAGAATTAAATAATAATACCATAATACCAGAGGTAATACATGAAAGAGTGAGAGCCCCGCGGCAAATTATATGGACGGAGGTGGAAAAGAAGGCCTCGTGCCCCACCATCGTAATGCAGCAGCAGCTCTAAGCAGAGCCCTCTCACGGCGTTAAAAAAGTACACTGCTCCGCCGGAACTGTTGGGGATTTTTCCAACAAACCTCTTCTCTATTTCTGACTCCCCTTTATTTTTTTTCCCCCTCTCCTCTCGAATTTAGACCTCTTTCTCTTTTCCTACATTCCTTTCACCCCATTGCGACCCGATCTCCTATCATAACATCATGGCCAGCACAATAGCACGTTCTGAGGAGCGCCAGAACGCCGGGTGAGTGTTGACCACATCCTGTCTTCCTCTGACATCACACCCCTCCCTCTCAACTGTTCCGCCCACTTCGTCAACCTTTCAAACCCGCCATGACAACGCGCGCTCGAAGCATTCCAATCTAGAATTGATTCCCATCAATTATATGTATTTTTTGAAATCCGACCTCTAGGCTACACCTTTTTTGACTCTATTTTATCTTTTTCAAATTATCCTTCTAGCACACACATACCCCCATCGATCGACATACATCATTCACCATCCCTGCTCTGCAAGTGCCTCTAATTCACTGCTAACATGGATATTTCGTTTAGCACCATCGAGCTTAAAGATGACACTGCCATTGTAGTACTTGGTGCGTCGGGAGATCTTGCGAAGAAGAAGACGGTGGGTGATCCTGCGAAGCTTGGTGCAAGAAATTGATCGGAAGCTAACGTCCCTCATAGTTCCCGGCACTTTTCGGCCTTGTATGTACCTGCGGACTCGACCTCCAATGAGGGTTAAGTAACCTGGTTTCCCTGGCTGACCCTGCATCTAGTACCGTAACAAGTTCCTTCCCAAAGGAATTAAGATTGTCGGCTATGCCCGGACAAAAATGGACCAAGAAGAATATCTGAGACGTGTGCGGTCGTATATCAAGACCCCCACTAAGGAAATTGAAGAGCAGCTGGATAGCTTCTGCCAACTTTGCTCCTACGTCTCGGGTCAGTACGACAAGGATGAGTCTTTCCAGGACCTCACAAGGCACCTCGAGGATGTCGAGAAGGGTCAGAAGGAGCAGAACCGTGTCTTCTACATGGCTCTTCCCCCCAGCGTCTTTACTACCGTATCGGATCAATTAAAGAGAAACTGTTACCCTAAGAACGGCATCGCTCGTATCATCGTGAGTCGCTCCTGATACCGTCGTCTTCAGCAAAAACGGTTGCTCATGTGTGTTTCATTTGTTATAGGTCGAGAAGCCATTCGGCAAGGACCTTCAGAGTTCTCGTGATCTCCAGAAGGCGCTCGACCCCAACTGGAAGGAAGAGGAGATCTTCCGTATTGACCACTACCTGGGAAAGGAGATGGTCAAGAACATCCTTATCATGCGCTTCGGCAACGAATTCTTCAACGCCACCTGGAACCGTCATCACATCGATAATGTGCAGGTATGGATCGAATAGTTGCTCAGTTTGGTCTGATTTTTCACTAAATGGCTTTCTTGCTCCAGATTACATTTAAGGAGCCCTTCGGCACTGAGGGCCGTGGAGGCTACTTTGACGAGTTCGGTATCATTCGTGACGTTATGCAGAACCGTATGTAACACGTTTGTTTCCACGTGCTAGCAAGAAAGCTGACTTCTTTGCTGCAGACTTGTTGCAGGTGTTGACTTTGCTCGCTATGGAGCGCCCCATCTCATTTTCCGCCGAGGATATTCGTGACGAGAAGGTAACGATTTCTTTCAACCCAACCACCCCACTTTCTGATATTGATGCATTATTAGGTGCGTGTCCTGCGCGCAATGGACGCGATCGAGCCCAAGAACGTCATCATCGGTCAGTATGGAAAGTCTTTGGATGGAAGCAAGCCCGCATACAAGGAGGACGAGACTGTCCCTCAGGATTCTCGCTGCCCCACTTTCTGCGCATTGGTCGCATACATCAAGAACGAGCGATGGGACGGTGTTCCTTTCATCATGAAGGCCGGCAAAGGTACATTCTATCCCCTGCATCTCCTGCGTTGCTCGCATGCTTACTGTCCCCAGCCCTGAACGAGCAGAAGACCGAGATCCGTATCCAGTTCCGCGATGTGACTTCGGGCATCTTCAAGGACATTCCTCGCAACGAGCTCGTCATCCGTGTTCAGCCCAACGAGTCCGTGTACATTAAGATGAACTCGAAGCTTCCTGGCCTATCCATGCAGACTGTCGTGACCGAGCTTGACCTCACCTACCGCCGTCGCTTCTCCGACCTTAAGATTCCCGAAGCTTATGAGTCTTTGATCCTGGACGCCCTGAAGGGCGATCACTCAAACTTCGTTCGTGATGACGAGCTTGACGCCAGCTGGAGGATTTTCACACCTCTCCTGCACTACCTTGATGATAACAAGGAGATCATCCCTATGGAATACCCCTACGGTATGTTCTAGATCTGTGTTGCATATGGTATGCGAGTTTCTGTGACTAACCGTGGACTAGGCTCTCGTGGACCTGCCGTTCTCGACGACTTCACTGCCTCGTTCGGTTACAAGTTCAGCGATGCTGCTGGTTATCAATGGCCCTTGACTTCCACCCCCAACCGTCTGTAGACGGGGAAGGCTTATGAGGCTAACGAAAGTGTAAAAAGGACAAAAAGGGGGCAAAGATATTAATGCAGCATGACAGACTTTGTTTTTATTGTTATGGTATGTTTGGGAATTTCGGTTTGAGTAGGCGGTTTTTTTAAACAATCGGTGGGCCGGCAATGACGGAGTAAATCCATTTTTACCACCCAACTCTAGAAACGAATCAAGTGAATATTACGAATATCACGAAAGATGCGCAGAGCTCGCGCGGTTCTCTAGGAAAGGAGGCCAAGCCAATTTTAAGACTTGGCGGAGGGAACAAGGAGATATAACAATAATACCCCTGGATCCCTGTAGATGAGTTAAATTAGTATTACGTACGAGTTAGTCGTCTCGTAGAATGTCGATGTTCATTAGAGAGTTCGTGATCAGCTATTTATAAACCACCCTTCCAGGTCCCTTGTGGGTCTGGTAAGATTAAATTTCATAGACTGCTGCCGATAAGATTGATTGAATTCTGCCCTGACGTTCCCGGGGGCCCGCATGCGTCTGTTGGTCTGGTCCCGCCCGTGACTTTCCTCTTCCTTTTCTTTCTTTCGTTCCCTCTTCCCCTTGGTGCTTCAATTTTCTCCAGGCGTTCTTTGCCTTTATATGCCATTGACCCTCACATCGGATTACTTCATGGTATAGAGCACCACTTACGCGCCTCCATCCATCGGTCTTCGAGGTTTCCACGAGATTGTTCCCGGCCATTGGATCTGCGCTGCATCATCCCATGCTATTTTTATCACAGACACAGACTACGACGAGCGCAACCCCCCCCTCCAACGTCTACCGCCGGCTGTTGATTACCGTCGAGTTTAAGCTCATCGAAGCCCGTGTGCCTTGCAATTGCCATCCAGACTTTTATTTCTCCCGATAGAATCGAGAAATTGTCGACTGCTGTCGAACGTGCGGTTGCCTGATCGCAGGCACGAGACCAGTTTGACCTAGTCCATTTCATGGAAAACTGAGGCGTTCGAACAGCGTCAATTGCATGCAAGCATCCAACGATATAATTAAGGATGCCACAAGCTGCAAGATGGGTGGGTTCGCCCTCCATTAAGGGACGAACAGAGGCAATGCGGATGGCACTCTTGACGTTTAGTCTGTTAGGATTACAGTACGTTAACCACCGTTGTCGGTATCTACACTATCTGTGACGAGCATGGTCCGCTAATATATCCACGGCGTAGATTTACTTGGGGCATTGAAATGACTTGTAAGACCTTTCCTTCTCCGCCGCCCAACCGTCCTCTAATCAGACCAACTCGACATAGACTGCACGCCGTATCTTCTCCAGCTCGGTCTCACTAAATCCCGAACATCGCTTGTCTGGATCGCTGGTCCTTTGTCCGGGTTAATTATCCAGCCTCTCATTGGCGTTATTGCAGATCGGTCACGATCGAAATGGGGAAGGCGAAGGCCATTCATGATTATAGGCTCATTGATTGTCGCGATGTGTTTGCTAGTATTAGGATGGACTGCAGAGATTGTCGGCCTTTTTGTCAAGGATGCAGAGAAGGTAAACCGAGAAGCATGTCGAGATTTAGGCAAGAGCTGACATGTGGATTATCTTCTAGGCCAACAGAGTTACCATTGCGCTAGCGGTCCTTAGCATATATGCCGTGGATTTTGCCATCAATATCGGTGGGTGAGGTTTGAAAGAATTCTCAAGTTCAATCTAACATCGTCCAGTACAAGCGTGTTGCCGGAGCTTGATAGTTGATACGTTGCCTATTCCATCACAGCAGGCTGGGTCAGCATGGGGTATGTTTTATATCCATTGCCGAATGCGAATTACAGACCTAACATCCCAAAGCCACTAGAATGTCAGCCATTGGCCAGCTCATTAGTTATGTCATCGGATCAATCGATACAGTTAGCATTTTTGGCACCACCATTGGCGATACTCAATTTAAGCAAATGACAGTTATCGCTGCGCTATCCTTACTCATCGCTGTTCTGGTTACTTGTTATGCGGTGAAGGAGAGAGTGTTGATTACTGCTAGGTGAGTAGATGACCGAGGATATGCCCCATATGCGGTTCGTTAACTTGTGACGGCGACAGAGACTCCGAAGGGAAGGCCGGGGCTTTCCAGGTCATGTCTCAACTATTCCAAACTACAATGGACTTGCCTCCTCGCATCCAAGCCATCTGCTGGGCTCAATTTTGGGCATGGATTGGTAAAGACATCCATTATTAAATCTTTGGTACAGCCCTCGCTAATTATACTAGGCTGGTTTCCGTTTCTTTTCTATAGTACCACCTGGGTTGGTGAGACATATTTCCGTTATGAGGTTCCAAAGGATGCGACGCATCCGACCGACATGCTTGGAGAGGTTGGTCGAGTTGGCAGTTTGTCACTGGTCGTCTTTTCGTCCATAACATTCTTCAGCTCTGTTCTGTTGCCATTCTGCGTACAGGGTCCAGATAATGTGAGGCCTAGATTCACCCCACGGCCTCCTCCAGGGGTTGCCGCCTTGCTTAAGAAGGTCACTTTGATACGCCCGGACTTGCAGACGACCTGGTTGATTTCACATGTGATGTTTGCAGCCACTATGATCTTCGCACCTTTGGCCCGATCCCGGGCCTTTGCAACTTTCCTAGTGGCCTTATGTGGAATTCCATGGGCTGTCAGCAGCTGGGCGCCTTTCGCCTTCATGGGCGTGGAGATAAATAAGCTAGCACTAGGCCCAACTCAAGCATCGCGTCTGTCCGGTGTCACTATGATTACATCTTCCAGTATCCGTTCTGGGGCCTACGGTGATAGAAACGGAGATACGGAGATGGACGTGTTGCGTCTCAACCACAACGACACGGACAGCGATAGTGACACAGAGGGTGGCACCTCCGATTTACCATCAACAGGTGAATTGGCTGGCATTTACCTAGGCGTGCTGAATGTGTATACGACACTGCCACAATTTGTCGGCACATTTATTAGCTGGATAGTCTTCAGCGTTATTGAGCCAGGTAGCACAAAGCGAGATGCCACAGAGACGCAATGGATAAACCTCGATAAGGGTTCGCCCAATGCCATCTCGATCTGTCTGTTTATTGGCGCACTAAGTACGCTTGTGGCCATTGAAGCGACCCGACGATTACGTCACATTCGATAGTGATCGTGACTTTCTCTCTTCTACAGTATATCTATTCTACCACGATAAAAAGGGAGTCCACTTAGACTCTCTGATATCATACTATCCGATACCCATGTTCATTCAGCGATGTATTATTTGTGAGTATATGGGATATGTCTGAAGTGACATCTTTCAGCCACAGGCCAACTGAGCCTGCGCTGATGATTGATTGGCCTTCGCATATCTGGGGGATTTGTTCGCCACATACATATTGACATATGATGGTATATATTATTGAGATAATGATAATTATAATGTACTATACGACATTTTGCACAGACATAGGGGTATTTACTTCATGAATATAATGAGTACTAAGGTGTGTAACTCCGATGGTATATTTTCTCGACTTAATTTTGTCTGCACTCAAGACAAACACAAACCACGAAAAGGAAACAGCCAGCCTAAGACATACAATCTCAAATTTCTCTATTAATCGGTAAGCTGAGGGACATGCTGGCATCATCTAGTAACTACTATTAGCACCGTTTGATCAATTTCCCATCTTAGTGCCAGGCAAAGGAAAAAGAAGTCATAAAGGTTGTGAAGGGCTACGAAGTAAATTACACCGAGATGTGCTAAAATGGAGCTTGATATACAGCGAGAGTCGGCTAAGGTATATTGGTAATTCATAGTGTGAAAAAGTAAATAAATAAACAAAAGACCATCAAATAAACAGGAAGGGGAATAAAACGATAAAAGCTCAAAACAATCGAAAAGAAGGGGAATCGCCACAGTATGAATATCCATCCGTCGATGAACCAATGGATCAGGGATGATATTACAACAGAAACGTCCGTTCATGGCGTGCGTCCGTCATCCTTCGCTATAAGAGGTTGATTCTTGTCATGTGAATAGGGATTTTATGGAGGCCAAGCCCAAACACGGGGAATCAAAAGAAAATAGAGCCTGCAACAGATATGGAAAAATGTCAAGGCCATATAGAGATTAAACAGGCGGTACAAGGTATATGAAACAGATGCTGTGAGTCAAAAGATGAAAGAGAAAACAACTGGTACTCAAGGATGGATGAAAGAATCTAGTGTCAATTAAGCCATTTTCCCGGTCAGTTCGGCCACCCTGGCCTTGATACGAGCCGCGCGAGCATCGAAGCCTTGATGATACAAGTTAGTCAATGGGCGACTACTACTATGGAGGCTTGAGTTACTTACTTTCCTCTTCGCTTGTGTTGCCACCGTCGTCTTCATTCATCCGCATATGCTCAAACTGGGCGGCTCTTTCGGCGGCGTTTTTGCGAATTTGTGCCCACCGGTCATGGGAAGAATTGGACTGAGGTGGAGCGCTAACTTCATCCTTGGCTTCAACCGGCGTACTGTCGACGGGTTTCTTCTCTGAGAAGGTATCGGACACAGGCGAATCCTCAGGGACAAACGCCGGTTGCTCCACTAAAGGACCCTGATCGAATCTTGAAAACTCACTATCGGCTGCGGTGCGTTCATTGGTATTAACGCGTGAAAGAGCATCATATTCGGCTTGCCGCTGGTTACTATGGTAGTCACTGTTTGATGCGGAGACATGGGGTTCTGGCTGCACTCTTGCCTCCGGCTGTTCAGGCTCCGGTGCTTCAGCAGTAGGCTTGGGAGTAGCTGGCACTTCGGCAACAGGCTTGGGTGTTTCTGCAGCTGGTGTCCCCGGTACAGGCTTCTTCTTCAGGGTGGATGGACGGACAGTTTGTTCCTGAGATGCCTTTGCCTTATCCTCTAGGGCAGCGCGTGCAGCAGCGACAGCAGACCCACCCGCACCCGTAGACTTCATTGGCGGTCTTGATTCTGGTTCAGGCTTTCTCTTCGTTGTTCCAAACATACTCTTGATTCCCGGAGTAGCAGGCTTCTTCAATTTCCCGGCCGAATTCTCTGCCAACTCCGTGGACTTGCGAAGCTGCTCAGTGGTCAACCGTTCCACAGGAGCGCTGGGGCTATCTTTCCGACCACTGGCGTCTCTGTCACTAGTAAAGCTATCCTTCTGAGGAGTTGCGGGCGCTGGAGAGCTACGAATGTCGTCCTTCGGTAGAGGCGGGGGAGCCTGTCGGGTACTGGTACTGAGGGCTGGAGACAAAG